TAAACATTCCTAGCAGAAATAATAAATGATACTACAATCTTCCTAGCTTTATTGTGCTAATTTAACATTGTAGTGTGAGTTTTGTTACCAACTCGGTTTTAAAAGTAGGTAGCTACATATGGGAGAGGGAATGAAGTGGCTGGATATGGATTTTTCTTCACAATGAACTGATGTCCTAAGATAAAGCAGCTTTCTGCTTAAAACTCTGCCTTCTTTATAGCAATGTGAGATATTTATAAAACATGAGAGAAAACAGAGTAGACCTGGCATTCTTTAGAAGCAGACTATCTAACATCTTTGCAACAGATGACATGCAGCCCAATCCTATCCATTTTTACTTGGAAATAAATTATGTTGGTTTAAAGGTAAGGGTAAAGGTAAAGGTACCCCTGGCTGTTAAGTTCAGTCACAGACGACTCTGGGGTTGTGGTGCTCATCTTGCTCTATAGGCCGAGGGAGCCAGCTTTTATCCACAGACAGCTTCCGGGTCATGTGGCCAGCATGACTAAGCCACTTCTGGCGAACCAGAGCAGCACACGGAAAGGCGGATTACCTTCCCACCGGAGCAGTACCTATTTATCTACTTGCACTTTGACTGCTTTCAAACTGCTAGGTGGGCAGGAGCTTGGACCAAACAATGGGAGCTCACCCCGTCGCAGGGATTTGAACCACCGACCTTCTGATCGGCAAGCCCTAGGCTCACTGGTTTAGACCACAGTGCCACCTGTGTCCCTGTTGGTTTAGTTTGGACTTATTGCCAAATAAATATTGTAAACTTTAAATAATAATTTTCTGTTAAATCTTCTCTAGTTGCTGTCAGCACAAAAGGCTTTTATTAAAAATTTAACTGGAAGTCATCTTGTTATTTCAATAAGTCACTTTATTTACCCTGATGTCACAGATTCATTCACTGTGTGACTCGTTGTTGTTTAGTCGTTTAGTTGTGTCCGACTCTTTGTGACCCCATGGACCAGAGAACAGAGGAGTATTAATGTATGGGAATTAAGTTCTGCCAAACTGACTTTAGTTTATTTACTAACAAGTGTATATTGATAGTGAACCTGGCTGAGAGTTCGTGAATAGGATTCTGTGGGGAAGTGGGTTCCCCCTTCTGCTTTTAATTGTCCATCTGTTACACTGTAATAATATACAGGTCTCCTCAGTAGTAAGATCTGTTGAGTTCAATGGAACTTGCTCACAGGTAATTGTATAAGATTGCAACCTTTGTCACTTGTAGCTCTAGTTGCACAACGTAAAGCACAATGTAGTTGACTGTGTTATTGATAGAGGCAAACAGGCTCCTGTGGCTAGGTAAGCATCTTGGTGTCTATTTTCTAAGCAGGAGGCATTGATCGTGTGATGGTCTCCTATTTCAATCGCTATTCTTATGCCACCAAATTATGTACCTTGGTTGGTTTGGGTGCAGCAGACTTACAAGTGCTTATTCTGACTTGTCTGCTGTCTATAATCTCTGAGACCCTTACATTGCATGAGTGGCAGTGCCATGGAATTAAACATGAAGTTCAGGCACTGGCATGAGTAAGGGTTACATTTATTGTCAAACAGTAGCTTCCTTTTTGCCTGGTTGCATCTCATCCTATACAATGTGTACCTTTTACAAAGGAAAAAAAAGCAAAATTAGGGACAGCTGTAGAAACTGGCATCTGCCTCACTCTTAAATGATCTGCTTCAGATTTGAAGCCCATTAACTGTCCATAGTGCCTCTGTTATAAAATATAAGTAGTTTAATGTGGCCCCATAAGAAGACAAGTCTTTAGGATTTAACTTTAATACTCAATCTGTATTATTTTATATTTACAATATGGCTTATATTTATAGCTTCACCTGTGAAATGGTTCACACGACTGTTGCAGTTAAATTATTCTCATGACCAACTCCGTCCAGCAGCAGTAAAATCACTTTCAAAACACTGCCCTTTCCACACCAATATCTTCCAATGATGTCATAGCTGGAGAATATCCCAGTAATGCCAGCCTGGATCAGGCTATATCTGTGTTATCTGAATACTGGATATGTTCCCAAAAGAAACCTTATTACCATTCAAATGGCATTGAATTAAGTCACCTTTTTTCAAGGTTGCATTTCACATGTTCAAATAGTGGATGCTAATGCTTGCAATTATGTAATCCATGTAGTACATCCCCAGCTATATTAATTTGGAACTGTTGGTATTAAGCTTTGTTCTGGAGCCAAAACAGATAGTACCCATGAGATGTTAGAATTACAGGCCTAAGTCAGGACAAGGTAGAAGGCATTATGAGGAACCTGGGATAATTGTACCCTGTTTTGCTTAGGGCTTTATCCCAATTGCTTTAGCATGCTTCACATATGCCAGTGCCTCAATGTTATTTGGGGCTACCTGGACATCCAAAACTTGATTTAAGCACCACACACAAAAAGTGTTGTGATTGTGAATACTGCAGTTCATTAAAGGTAAAGCTAAAGGGCCCCTGACAATTAAGTCCAGTAGCAAATGACTCTGGGGTTGTGGCACTCATCTTGTTTTACTGGCCAAGGGAGCCTACGTTTGTCCGCAGACAGTTTTTCCGGGTCATGTGGCCAGCATGACTAAGCAGCTTCTGGCGAAACCAGAGCAGTGCACGGAAATGCTGTTTACCTTCCCGCCAGAGCTATACCTATTTATCTACTTGCACTTTGACATGCTTTTGAACTTTTAGGTTGGCAGGAGTTGGGACCGAGCAACAGGAGCTCACACCGTCGCAGGGATTCAAATCGCCGACCTTCCAATCGGCAAGCCCAAGAGGCTCAGTGGTTTAGACTACTTATTGACTAACAAAATTATTATTTAAAAAAAATCCTGTTTCTCTAGATAGAAGATGTGTTGTATATGCAAAAAAGTATATGTCTGTTGAACTTCATACCTTCTAGTACTAGATATTTGTGGTGGAGGCAGAAGAGTAATATTTTTCAACTCACCTCCAGTCAAGTAACTTGCCTTCCACCCCCATTGTTGGACCCCTATCATTAGTCAATGAAAAGGCACTTCTGTCATACCAGTTATAACTAAAGCATAACATGAAAACTAAAATAATCCTGTAATCTTAAGGATGCTCACTTGAAAATAACCTCCAGCAAAAGCAGTAAAATTTACTTATGAAAAAAAAGTGTGAATGCAAAATACACTATATTTTCCATAACCCTTAACATGTGAGGCAACACTCACCTCCCCTTGCCCCCACCCAATGCACATCTGTTCTGTTCCCCGACTTAATGGTTTATTGTGCTCCCATATTTAATGTCTCACATTTCAGCAAATCACATCCCAATGTAGGGATGCAGATTTTGTCTGGCTATCAGAGTTTAATTGTAGCCACTTGAATTTAATGTCTATTAATGAAGCTGTTGATCGGTTAAGCCAGTAATACTGACTTCAAATATGATACAAAAAGGATATTTAGTAACAGACTCCTAGTTTGATTTGAAAGTTTACCCAGACACATCCCAGAGGAAGCCAGTTAACATCCTGGGTGTGTCTGTCACAAATATGGTCACTGAGATACTTCAGTGGGAGAAGTGAGAGTTTTGCAACACTATTGTTGTTTGGGAGTGATTGTTGCTATGTTATCCCTACAGAAAATAACTTGTTTAGGGAAGAAGAGTCTGACAGCTTTCTGCCAGTGAAATTGTGAAAGCCTCACAGCACTGCAGACCTGTTCTTCAAGCAAATTTAATGGTTTTAAATTTGTACACGGAAGCATACCATTAACTTGAAGGTGACATCAGTGATCTTATAACTCTATCAACAGCATTGTTCTGTTGCTCAACTCTTAAGAAATGTCTCCTGCTTACCCAGCTTTTTTTTTTAATAAAAAAATTGCAAATTTAATCCCTTGCTTTTTCCTTATTTGTTTTGGGGGCCCTGGAGGGATCGAAGGTGTGTGTGTGTGTGTTTTGTGTGCAGGTTCAATAGGAGCCTCTGAATGAAGCTAACACCCTTTTAATAGCCCACATGTGCCCTACATGCAAATTTAAAACATACTACGCCCAGTGTGGGAACCAGAATTAATATATGTGTTCTGTGATGCTGAACCTTCCCACTTCCTGTATTTAAAAAAGCACCAATGTACTCTCTTAGTGTTGTTTGTTTTTCTAAAACTATTATAATTTTTCATTTTCTTCATACTTTATGATCCATTATCTGTTGTGCACTTTTAAACTTCTGACAGTGTGAGCATAAAACTATACATGCATGTCAATGTAATTATGATGACAAAGTAAATATGATGCATCATTAAAGCAAAGCTTGTGAATAGCAGTTATTGTGTCCAAGAAAATGAAGCAAGGTTTTGAAATCTGGTTCTCTGCTTTGCCACACACTTTTGATCTGAATGTACAAACCATGGCCTCTAGAAAGCTAGCTTTCAGCCTAGTTTCAGGATTAGAAAGCAGTGCCTGGCTGATGGAGTAGTTACTCGCCTTCACATAGCTATCTGTAATGTGTGCAGCAGCAAATTTCTAAAAGGTGGTGATATAGAAGGATATAGTGTGTAGTCAGAAATCTATTTAAATCCAAGTACAGCAGCTTAATCGGTTTGTGTATATTTCATCAGTGCGGTGTCAAGTTCAAGTCACTGGGGAAATGCTGCTGCTATCCTAGTTCCACAAATAGGCAGCTGAAACCACCTTCCTTTCACAAATATAGCTGAAAAACAACTTCACGCTTATTGAGCTGAAAGCGTTACAGAGTCCTAAACTGTCAAAGATGCAGTAGGGGAACAGATTGCAGAAAGAATGTACGATTTTGTCCCTTCGGTTTTATTCCCATCCTCAGATGGGATGGGAATTTAATGTTAAGTCTTAAAAAACAGTAATAATGACGAGCGAAACAGCGATGTCCAGATATCTCCCTAGCTCCTCTCCCCCCCCACCCCGGGTCAAAAAGAAGAAATGCAAGTTTTGAAAAGTGTGTCTGAGGGGACGCGGCTGCACTTAAAAGAGTGCATATTTCTGGGCCGATCGTGGGCGAAGTCTGGGCCCCGCGTTTCCCTCCAGCCGAATTTCCCATTAGGTGAGAACAGCCAGGCGCGGCCATCTTGAGAGCGGGCTACGCTGAGCGGCTGCCAGCTTTTAAGATGGCGGAAGCCGCATCCATTCCAGCCTCCGCTCGGCTTTCTCGCCAGGCCCCCGCCTGGATCTCACCGTCCGCACTGGGGAGCTGAACAGCTCGGTGTCTGGACCATGACCGGGGCGGTCTCCTTGCTGTTGCTGCTCCGGAGGAGCTGCCGCCGCGCTCTACGACTGGCGCCGCGGGCTTTCCCGGCGGCCGAGCTCCGGGCTCTGCAGAGCGGCTGGCCCAGGACCTGCACAGAGGGTGGCGGCGGCCTTCAGGTAAGGCTGAGGCGGTGAGGCACCGAGGTCTCTTAAAACTGCCTCATCACCCGGGAGGAAAGTCACCCCCCCGGCCTGAACCCGCTAAACCTGCCAGCTCCTGGTGGTGAAAGTCATGAGGGTTTTTTCTATTAATCACCTCCAGTTTCCATAGAACTTTCTGCAGCTGCACAACCAGCACATGAGAGTGCAATCCTTTGCACATCTGTCCAAGAGAAAGCCTTATCAAGCTCAGTGAGACTTATTCCCAAGTAAGCGTGTATAGGATTGTAACCCCTGCCTTGGTAAAAAGTAGGATGTGGGTTGTACAGTACCTGTACCGAAAAAACGCGCGCGCGCGGGGGGGGGGGGGGAATCAACGTGATATAGCGGAGAGTGTTCCTTTCGGACTTGGGTTCAAATGGTCTATCAGCCCTGAGTTGCAATGCGTGACGTTAGGCCATTCACTCTCTTGCAGCCTTACCTACTTCACAGGGTTATTGAGAGGATAAAACGCTGGGTGTGGGGGAAGGATGGGATAGGAAATGATAAGGCTTTATTCATTTACATTTATATCCCACCTACCTTCCGTCATGGAACCTAAGGCAGTGCATGTTCATGCACAAAATAAATAATAATACCAAAAAAGTCTCTGCACCCAGAAAATTGGCGTATCAGGGGGAATCATTCTTACGTAAGCTTTTCCCTGACGTGCCAGTTTTGTAGATTGAGGGATTGGCTTCTTGCATCTTTGTTTAGAGCGCTTGTCTCTGACTGTTCAGAAATTAATCTCCTCCAGAATCAAAGTTTAACCATTTAAAAAATGCAATCATATAGCATGAAGCAAGAGTGTCAGGAGCAATCAAATAATAATAATAATAATAATAATAATAATAATGTATATGATCTCTAAGGGCATGAGCAATTAAAAAGATTCCAAAAATCATTGACTCCAAAAAGACAGCAGAGTTGGTGGCAATCAATAGTTTGCTGGTCTCACAGTGGAAAAAGCCCTATTGTGCTCACCATCCACCTTCTGGAGGTACATTCAACTATGCAACTCCTTGCCTGCAGCCATAAGTGATAGCCCTCACTCAGGCTTACCACCATGCCTAGGAACTAGGCTTGAGAGGACAGAGCCATGTCACATGCGTTTTGCCACTGATTCTTACAACATCTCTTGTAAATGTAATTAATTATTCCTATGCAGGATTGTAAGGTAGTTATTTTGCATTTAGTCTGGTATTGGGCATTCTAATATATACACCAGATATTCTCAGGAGGAGGAACTGGTAAACCTGCTTTTGTGCTAACCACTCCTAGTGTGGCCTCCTGGCCTGTCAAAAAGTCCATCAAACTCCACCCTAGAAAGCCCCTGACTCCACCCATGACTTCATTCCCTGGTATCTATCCATGATTCCCTGTAACCCTTGCACTGTTCTGTTTCCTCCTCAGAGCCTTCTGTCTCAAGTGCTTTCCCCCACACCTGGAAGACTTTTTCGGTCGGTAGCAAAAAGCCAGTTTATCCCCTTCCGACTCTGGAAATTTCTGGGTGAGTAAAGAAAGCTTGACAACAATAGTGCCTTTACTGGAACTTATTCCTGCCATGGCAGTGACCAACATGTTGGCCATTGTTCTATTTCTTCCCCACCCCCAATTTTCTTGCCCGTCTTAAGTGTATCGCTTCCTCAATTACTCAAAGCTGGGTGCACAAACAGAAGCCAAGTCTGAAGCCATTGAAATGCAAATGTTGAGCTCTGAATACACTGGACAAATGAATTGCTTTTTCCAAAGTGTGAGGGTTACATGGGAAATCACACTAGGCAGCTAAGGGATGGGCTTTTCTTGGGTCCCACCCAGGTGTGACCAGACTCACCCCAAAGAGTTGTGCCTCAGGCTAGGCTCAGACATTGTTCCCCCAACCAGGCTTTCCTGATATTCCCTTTTTTAAAAAAAAAAATTCCAAAATAAAAAAACAAACATTTTGAAATTGCTAACAAGGCAATGTATATAACACATTTCCCCTCTTTATATGTATGTGAACATAAATGTAAGATCTATTTGCAACTTGGAGCTTTTTGTATGCTTCATCATAATATTACAGTTTATACTTTTCCAAAATCTGAGGAAAAGTTTAGGATAAATGTTGCTGAATTTGTATATGAGATAAAATCATGCCACACTATATAAAAATCAAATATTTTGAGCTTTGCCTTAGCTAATTTAAACTGGTAAACCAGTTTTTCTGCCATGGCTCTTTGGCACAGCTTAATGTGCCAAGTAGTCAATGTCAACAGTTCAGCAGTTTTCCAATTTTTGGTTGTTGCCCTGTGATCAGCAATCAACAAATTTTATTAGTTCCTTAGATATCACTTTCTTGTCCATGCTGCTGGTTTATGTTTTGAGAAGAACTGGCCTACAAGATGTAAACTTTCCCTTGGTTGCTGTATCCTGTCATTACTTTTTTTCTCTCCCCCCCCCCCAGCTGTTGCATGTCACAAGTTCAATCCCACCCATGAAAGATTTATTGTGCTAAGTCCACAGAAGCCTTGATTATTTATTAGAAGTATTTCACCCCACACTTCAGCTGAAAAAGCTTCTAAACCAGCTTTATATAAGATCAATAAAAACAGGACAGTCTGTCTGAGAACTGATAATCTGAAAGACACAACATGAAAGGAAGAGGGGATGGGAGGGAAAGAGGAAAATAATCAAACAGGCAGAAAACACAGAATTACATGATAGTTCTAATAATGGTGAGCTGGAATGGAAACAGCTGAGGGAGAGAAAGAGCCTCAGGGAGAGACCCTTCTTCCCATCTCTCTTTGTGCTTCAGCCTGTCTGAAGGAATGTATGCTTCCAGGTGAAGCAGGGAGAAGTTCTGTGAAGCTGGGCTCTTAGCAGAGTTGACAATTAACAAATGACCTTGAGATCTAATTCAACAGACATTATCAACAAATTGTATAGGAAAGTTTGAGAAATTTAAACCTTGTTTATTACAAGCTGAGATGCTCAGAACTCTGACTGTAAATCTGTTGACAGGTGGCACTGACTATTTTTCTACCTCTGGTTCTCATCGCAATGGCAGCGGTGGTGAAGGATCCAAAGGGAAATCTCCAGAAGAAGATGAGGGTAAGTACAAATAGCAGTTTTGCTCTGAAGCTTCCAGTCAGAAGTGACTACAACAGAGGTGGAACACTTTTTTGGCTCCATGGACTGGGCCTTTATCAGCATTGGTCTTATAGACCAAATTTGTCAGGTGATCTGACGGGGGGCAGGATACCCATCTGTCGATCACAGGACATCATTATGCTCTCACATGAATGCCAAGTGGGCGTATTAGCCCAGCTGTCAAAATTCCTCATGAGGCTTTGTGAGTCTTTCCCCTCCCCCTGTGAAACTGGAGATTTAAAAGGGGAGCACAGGGAGACTTGCAAAGGCTTTAAGACTGTGTCCACACTCCCATCTCAGCCTCCAGAACTTGATTGCAGTTCTTTTGAATATATACAGCTTTATGTATTTCAGGTATTAAAGCTATTTAGAAGCTAATATTAAATGGATGCCTTATTTTGGAGCAGAAACTCTTCTACTGAGGCATGTGTTATTGATCCAGCTAAAGTTTTTCAGAGTCTACACAGGCAATATTCTCAACCAATTTGCTTTTGCACAGATGTAACATTTTTGGAGTGACTTTCAGCTTGCTGCCTCAGTGGTTTTAGCATCGCTCCTGCTTTGGGTATCAAGTAACCATGCAAATATAATGAAGAAGGGGAAGCCTTCATCAGGGTGGAGAGAGCCATGCTGCTGGCAGGGAGGCAGTTAATATATTTTAACATTTAGCAGATGTTGGCTGTGTTAGAGGAGAGGGGAATACAGTGTTCATTGAAGAAGAAAGTTTTTTATTTTAATTAGAAAATGTTCTTGAAATATGCAGATGGGAAGGGATAGTCTTGCTAAATTATTTTTCTAAGGGGTACATACATGTTTGTGTTTATCAGCTGCTTATTATTTATGTGCCTTTACCCTAAGGATCCAAGGTGGGTTGGAACAATTAAAAAAAGTAAATTAAAACAGTTTAAAACAGCTTCCTAAAAATATACATCTCAGGGGTCAAGTCAGGGTAAAGATTATTTTCCAAAAGCTGTATAATGAATATGTCAGACTCGCCTCCATGGGGATGCACCCATCATTTTACTAGGACATTTTAAAACCTTTGAAATTTCAGGGAAACTGTTATGAGGATGAAGAATATTGGCTCTGGTGATATTATATGTGGCACAATGAGGTGGTGAAGTGGACTGCACCACTTTAAAGTGCAAAGGGGTTCTTCCATTTTTGAATGCTCCTTTACATTAAAAATATTATGTCAATAAAGACCAGCACAGCAGGCAAAGGGATGGGATTATTGATGTATTGCAGTGTAATCTAGCTATGTCTACTCAGAAGTAAGACTTATTGAATTCAACAGGGCTTACTCATAGGTAAGTAGGGTTAGGATTGTAGCCTAAGTCTTCTGTTTTGCATAGAACTTTTACATGTGTGGGTTTTCAAAAACCATATCCCCTATCTGTGGGAAATATAGCAGCCCTGTTCAGGTTTTATTGCTCCTCATGATTCACATTGTACAAGGAGACAGCAGGGGCCCATTCGCTGACCCCACTGCATATCTGCAAAGAGGAAGCCTGCCAAATACCCGTAGGCTCTCATTTTGAGTAATCACACAACGAGAATAACACCTAAACAAGTTGAGCATTGCAGTCCACTCCACCACCTGATTCTGTTGCATCCCTAGATCTAGCCATGTGCACCTGAGTATTTAACCTTTGTTTCCCTTCTAGGGAGAGGACATTGGCACTTGCCAGGGAAAAGCATTCTGAAGATTGGCAAGGCATTTGAGCAGAGTCTGTGCCAGGATTTGGGGGCCAGCGGGAGTATGCATGTGCCTCTTGCAGTGATAGTCCTGTCCCGCCACCCCCATCCCTCTGAAAATATTGCAGGGAGCTCCTTTAAAATTTCCTCTGCTGAGCTATAAAAAGATCACAAGGGCCTCCCACAGATGCTTAGCTTCAGAATAGCTTGCCCTCCCCCCCCCTTTCACACAACCTGCATTTTGAGGCTGAGCTGACCTGACAGTGCCCCCAAGTTTAACATCCCTCCCTTGGAGCTTTCAGCAGATTTCATAGATGAAGCTAAACAGCCGCAGTGGTGGCTGTATTCTGCCCCTCCTCTTTTTTCCTCCTTGATGTAATTTGACTCTGCATTTTAAAAAAGGGAAAGACATATCCTCCATAGAACAAGTGTGCATGTGTGCGTATCCCAGTGCTGAGAGACCAGAAGGGCTTCTGGGCAGGGAGCAGGCTTGCACTTTGGCTGCCTTGTGGCTGCAAACTCCTAGTGCTGCTCTCTTGGATAAAGGTGCTGGAAATGAGATGCTTCGTGCTCTTTCATGTGAGCCTGCAGTGCTGGTAAAAAGGCAAGAGGAAGCAAAGCATCTCCTCCCATTGTTCCTTTGCTTTGAACACTAGCCCTTCCTTCTGCACTGTGTGCAAAGTGCAACAGTAGATGAGTGTCTCTTGTGGTCCAGAATGGGGATAAACAAGCAGCTTGTTGCCACTGGACCCAAGTGATTTCAAGCTAATTTCTTCTCCAGCAAACCCATACTCTGTATTCGAGGCTAATGATCTGCCATGTCAGATCTTAGTTTTTAGTTTCTGCCCCTTACTATGCCACTTCACTGTATGCATTATGTATTAAAAAGTGCTTAGACCTTTACAGTTCTTGCTGTGCTTGCTAAAACAAAAGCCCTCTGAGGCGGTTGTTACCATTCCTATTTTACAGATAGGTAACTGAGACAGTGTGTGTATGGGAGAGAAAGGAGGAGGGAGAGAGGCCAGGGCAGTAGTGGAACATGAATCTGAATCTGCAAAATCCAGGGCTAGTGTTGCACCCAGTGAGCCAAACTGCAGGATTCAGACGGAACAGGCAGTGTCAGGTTAGCAAGGAGATATCTAGATGCTGTAATGTGCATGCTGCTGTGCAAGAGGTGCTGGCTGTCACAATGCAGTCCCAGTTCACACCAGTCAGCAGTTAACTTCAGAGCAGGAATAGGGTCTGTTTTCATCATGACCCCTCTCCCAACCTCTGAGGAGAAAAGGCACCTTCCTTATACTATAGATCTAATTACTAGGGAGAGTCTTACATTTGTTGCAAGGTCTTTTCAGGAGCTCCTACTATGGGTATGTTATGTTATGAGTATGTCCTTTCCGGTGCCTGAAAGGCTGCACAAAATAATATGCAGCAGTCATCTTGGCCAGGAGGTGTGGGGTTTTTTGGCTTGACTTGTGTAAACCATGACCTACTGAGCGCTACAGCCTTTCCCCGCTTGTAATGGATGGATAAGTTGACTTTGCGAGGTGGAATCCTCCTCTGTGTCTTTGGGGGAAAGATCATCCCAGCAGTAATTATTTACAAAGAGTCCTGTGGCCTGTCATTGCAGCCCTTGCAAGCTTTTAATCATGGAGTTCAGGTTTGGGGTTAATGGCAAATCATTTCTTCATGAAGGCTTTCTGAGGCTGAAATGGGTCCCACAGCTGCTGACAAGAAGTGTCTCTTCCAGCTAGTATATGACTTATTTATGGAATGATTAGTGTGACCACTCTGCAGCGTTGGGATGTGAATGTGTGTGCTGTTTTGCTAAAAGTGGGGTCCCTTTGCTGGTGGCAGAGGCTCTGAGCAACTGGAAAGGATGGATGGCAGAGGGGGGCAAAATGCAGAGCAGTGCAGGCAGATCTCTTCATCTGTTCCTCCTGCCGTTTTCTGGTGTACGGTACTTGTAGACAAGAACCATTCTATGGCCAGCCGGCATCTCTCTGAATTTTCCCACAGCAGCCTCTGAGTTCTATCTCCACCTTATGAGAGAGGCCCAAGTGATGGGGGAAAGCCCTTTACAACTCTGATCAAAGAACACAGAGGGCACATCTGTTTGGATTGCCTCTGAAACCTAGGAGAGAGCAGTACTTTATCAGGATTTCCTCTGTCAGTAAAAAGAGGTCATTGCTTGCAAAAAGAAGTTGATTAGACCAAGATGCTTTGCTGGTATGGGTCCTAAAAATTGTAGAGCTCTGAACCCCATGCCTGACAGTGCTGGGGGCTTTCAAGCCAGAAAATACAACTGCAATAGCTTTCCAGTTGTCTCCTAAGCCTATGGGGAGGTTAATGAACTTAGAGGGTATTTGGGCTTTATATGTAGGGTATAATTTGTGGTAATCAAGATAAATGACATTAGTGTGTTGATGCTTTTTATGGACTTGGTAGATTAAAGTTGGTGCAAGCTTCCATGATTCGCAGAACACCTCATCAGACAAAATATGTCTTTGGATCCTGGAAGCTCTTAGATGTCATTTTGGTTTTCTGAAAAAAACTAGTAAGCTTGGGTGCTAAGTAGATTTCCTCTTGGCCAAATGTGAGTGGATTTTTGTGTGCATATGCAGAAGTTCAGAAAAGCAGGTATTAAAGTTGTCCATAACTGTGATCAATAGAATCCCTTTTCCTTTTCCCTTTCCCTTTTCTTCTTTGATAAGTTGTTTAATGCACCCTTAGTATACACCTGGAACCCAGAAAGTAATCTCACCCCATACTCTGTATGGTGTGGGAATCCTTCCCCCGAGTTAAGTTTCTGTGGGTTGTTGGGCTTTATTTTTATTTTTTACAATGTTGCTTTTTAAAAATTCTTTATTGGGCACTTGCTTGCAACTCCTGTGATAGATTTTCTCATTCTGCTGTAGCTGGCCCTTTCTGATATAACAAAGGACTGTGAGATGGTAGGAGAAGACAAAAGGGGTGTGGGCAGGGCATAGTTACTAAGATACTGGTGTTTGGTGAATGATGGCTTTATCTGAGAAACACTACTTTCCTCTAAGGGTGGGAGTCATTGGATAGTCAGGACAGAGCAAGCCATGAGTGAAATATGGTGCTGGATGTCTGATCAGGCAGCTCCAGCTTGGAATTGTGGATGAGGCTGGATCTCTGTACAGTGGGGTTTTTCTTTTTCTTTTTGCATCTGCTTTAACTGGTGGTGCTTGCTGATAAATGCCTTTGTTAACATAAATCTAATCTTGGCTACAGCAGATAGATTTTCCAACAAAACAGCCATGATTTATTTGGGAGGCTTCCTTAATGGCTCCGATGGATGATGCGCCATTGGCAGAGATGGGCAGCAGTTAGGCCATTCAGGTTGGATCAAAGAGCAAGGCAGGATGAAATGAGACTTAGAATCCAAAATAAGAAGAGTCTGCAGGATCAGGCCAGTGACCTGCAGATGCAGCCACCAAGATGGTTTTCTGCAGATTTAGGAATGCCCTTAGCTCTAGGACAGCAGTGGAAAGCATTTTACGTGTGGGCCTATTCAGGCCTGCCAAGTCTTCTCCATTTGGCCCACAAGGCCATATTGGGGAAGCCACAGACACTTTCCCTACACCTGACATCATATATGTTGGCAGGTAAAGACAAGGCCAGGCCCGGAGAGGTTTGCACCTGCAAAGCCTTGTGTGCAGCACTTTACAAGCACCAGCAGGTGGCAGATCACTGAGCCTTCCATGCACAGTGCTATGCAAAAATGGGTCAAACGTGGCCTATGTTGGGTGTAGGGAAATAAGTTCCCTATCCCTGCTCTAGGAATAGAGTTGTCCTGGCTGAAGCTGATGGAATGTGGGAGTCCAAAGTCTCTGGAAGGCACTAGGTTGGAGAATCCTGCCTCAGAAGGGGCTTAGAATGCTGGAGAGATGGACCATACTTTCTAGTGTTGGCAGAAGTTGCAAGCTTTTGAGTGCTGCTACTGTGCAGTTTGCCTCCATTCATTTCAAAGTGTAGGAGCCCAATTCAGATCCCACATCCGTTTGAACCAAGTGCATGTTATGCAGAGCAGTAGGACCGGGTGAAGGCTGAAGAGCTTTCTCCGCATGATTCAAACGGGTTTTGCAAATTGTTCAATTGGTGCAAAGCTGCACCATTCATTCTATGTTTGTGGTAGTGGTGTGACAGAAGGCATCTTGCCCTTGTCTAGCCTAGCATTATCTGGTTGAGCATTTAGAACCCTTTCTGAGAAAAAAAATGGATCCTCCTGCAGAATGTGAGCTGATTTGTACATGCTGTCTGGGCTGGCTCATGAGAAAGAACTGCTGAAACAGGCTAAATGTGGAAAGCTGGAGCTGGGTAGAGCAAATATTTGCTGGCTAATCGAATGCAAACTTCCCCTTTCCCTATGTGTGTTAATGTTGGAACTCCAGGTAGGCAGCTCCGTAAACATGCTCTGCTCCTGAGCTGTTGGCCTAGTTTGAAGCAGGCATTTTACATGCAGCTTTGCTGTGTGACCTTGCTCTTGGTCTCTCCTCATTCAGTCCCTGGAAAAAGGGGCTGTAATGTGATAGCACACTGCAAACCAGATGCTGCCTCTCCTAGCCCAGCTTAGCTTTCCTAGGAAAATGAAATGTGGAACAAAAAACAGACTGTGTGGGGGTCTGTGGCTTGGGGCATAATCAATCTGCTCTCCAGCTCGTAATGCTAATCTTGATGTGTTCTTATGTTTCCTCTCTCAAGAGGAAAAGAGACGCCGGGAGAGGGAGGACCAGATGTACCGGGAGCGCTTGAGGACCCTCTTTCTCATTGCCATCATCATGAGCTTGCTAAACTCCTTGAGCACCAGTGGAGGCAACATATCCTGGAACGACTTTGTAAATGAGATGCTGGCGAAAGGGGAAGTGCAGCGAGTTCAAGTGGTGCCGGAGAGCGACATTGTGGAAATCTACTTACATCCAGGGGCAGTTGTGTTTGGACGGCCTGTGAGTGTCTTTTTTCAGCAAGATCAGTCCTTAAAGTATTGCAAAGTAGGTTAAGCAAAGACTTTTCCATTTGGCCAACATTGATTGATATAGGAATGTAGGATTCAGGATTGGTAGTAGAAATTCCGCACACATTTAAGTTTCACAGATTTGTCTTGGTGTTGTGCCTGCCAAACAGTTGTGTGAACCCCCAAATGCTTCCATAGTTCTTCACCAGCCCCTAAATTGGCCTGTTGTCTTGGTCAACTCAGAGGTGGTTCTTTGAAAAACAATCTTGTTTTTCCCTAATCTGCTTTTTCTCCTCATAAGCAGAAAGCTGTCAAACTTCTGTGAAGTATTCCTGTATGGATATCAACATTAAGAATGCTTTTCTGATTGTTTTCATTTATCTGTTCATCTCCTTGTTCAGACAAGGAATATAACATAATATCTATGCTGAATTTTTAGGTAATTCAAGTTAAGGGTGGGAAGACTTCAGACTTGCAGGATCTGCTCTTGTTTTGCTACTAGAACCTTGAGGTCCCCCAAATGAGCTTTGGGTGGAAGGATGATGCACACTTAGAATTCAGACCATGGTACCTCTGAGCACTTGCCTAGCCCCAGAACTTGTTATTTGTACTAGAATTGAACTTGCAGGAGTTTCACACACAAATCAAATTATGGTTTTCCAATGTGTGCTTTGTTTCAGCAGCTTCATTTTTGTTGAAAGTTAGGCTTTTTGGTTTTGCTATTTTTTATTTTTTTTAAAAAATTGGAATAAGAAATCTTTGCTGATTAGCTTAAGGTCACCCAGAGTTCACCCAGTAGATCCTGAAACACCTTCTGCCCATCCCTGCATTAAATAATTTGAGGAACAGAGAAATCTCTCACTGACTGTAGTGGAGACCTTTAAGGGAAAGCAGCTGAAGTTGCCTATGTAGAATCTAAATGAAACTATCACAGTGAATTTCATTGTCTTGGTTTTTAATGCAAAGTTTAAGCATAAGTCATCCTGATGACTTTCATAAACTGTTTCTCGGGAAACTCCACATGTTTATGAAACAGTATTAGTATTTTGTGAGCAGTTTTTTGCTTTTTCTGGAACAATTTGCATACTATCCTGAACATGCTTGATCTTGGCTGATCCCAGAAGCTAAGCAGGGTCAGGCCTGGTTAGTACTTGGATGGGACACTGCCTGGGAATACTGGGTTTTGATTCCTGCACTGAAGAGGGTTGGACTAGATGGCCCTCGGGGTCCCTTCCAGCTCTACGATTCTATGATTTCTTCTGACCAGAGTACTCTCAAAGTGGCTAACAATAAAGAAATATCCAATAATAAATGCAATTCAAAACCAAAAGACACAAATAGCATGACAGATAATGAAAACATCCAACTTTAATATGCAGCCCTGTTTAGGGAAGTTTTTAATGACTGATGTTTTAATGTATTTTTAATCTTTTGTTGGAAGCTGCCCAGCCAGATAGGTGGGGTATTATTATTATTATTATTATTAATATTATTAATAATAATAATAGGCTTGCACGAGAAAAACTGCCTTCTCCTGATGGAGGAGGTTTAAAAGAGAGCATTCCAAACCTTCCTCCAGAATGTGGGTACAGCCACAGGAAAAATCCTCTTGTGAGTCCTGACTAACTTAGCACCTGCCCCATGTGAGGCTGCAGTGGGTGGCCCTTCCATTAGATCTAAAATAACTTATTATAATACAATAAAATAATTCTGTACTGATTACTGGTACCCATAACAATAGCAGTTGCCACAAACAGTGAAACTTGCATGGCCTTGTGAGTTTTCCAGGTTGAGAGAGAGAAGGCAGCTAATATTGGTAAGAATGGGTTGCCTGTTGATTACTTAAGCCTCTCCTCTGACTCGTAGCAAAGTGCACCTTTGTCTGTGCTTAAGCCAACCTGAGATTTTGGCAAGCTTAAGAGGTCACGTAGCTTTTAATTCCTTGCCCAGCAGCCACTTTTCATCCCCCTTGGAATTCCCCCACCTACTCACACATGACAGACTGTGGCCCTGAGCAGTTTTTTTCCACCTGTGCAATTCCCAGTTGATCAATGTCCTGAATCTGGCCTCGGTGTTGTTAACGTTGCTTTTGTGTGTCTCCAGAGGCTTGCCCTGATGTACAGAATGCAAGTAGCAAACATTGACAAGTTTGAGGAGAAGCTGCGGGCAGCTGAGGAAGAGCTGAGCATTGACCTGAAGGACAGGATCCCAGTTTCCTACAAGCGCACTGGCTTCTTTGGAAAGTATGACATATTTAGAAGAAAGCTCCTCCACCATTGCAAGGCACTGTCTGCCCCACCCTCCATTTCTTGCCTTTCTCTCTCCACCCCACCATGCCCTCTGTGCTTCTTCCTCTTGCTTGCCATGGCTGTGTGTACAGTGTCTCCAAGCAGCCTTCCCTGACCTGACACTTTTCAGATGCTTTGGACTACAACTGCCATTAGGCTCAGCTAACAGAAATGTGCTGGCTTGGGCTGGCAGGAGTTGCAGTCCAAACTATCAGGAGGGTGCCAGCTTGGCAAAGCATGTCCTAAAAAGAGTTGGTGGCCTAGATTGGGACACCAGCAGCCACCACCAACCACAAATGTGTGAAACGCATGACACACACCACTTCCTGCGGTTAGCCAGCTAGGAGGTGACTTGCCTGCTTCAGAACTTAATTGTATGACTTAGCTCTGTGAGATTTTCCATGGGAATAGCAAGGGAAGGGGCTGTGGATTGGGGCGACCAGAACCCAGCCTAAGCACCATAGACTTACAAAAGTATTTTCTTGTGAAAAGTGTGCCAATCTATTTTCCCAGAGAATACTGCAGGGTGGCTTGGTGAACATGGCAATGATCATAGTGTGGGGGATCCAATGGAGATAATGCCTTAACAGTCTGAGTGAGCCTCCCACACGGTATTATCTTTGGCTTATAAAAATAAACTCCCGAGCGTTTGCCCATTAAGACAACAGCCGACTGTACCTTTGGCGGACACTGACTCATAGGCCCCATGCTGAGCAGAAATGTTTTGCTAATCAAACCCCAAATGTCAGTGTGAAGCAAGTGCTCCCATTAAACGTATGGACTTTGTTATGCAGAACCCCACATCCTTTGTCACAAGGATTTTGCAAAGGCTAAAGCTGTTAATACTGATGTAAAGTCAGAATGGGAATTGATGCTGAGAACAGGAGGAGGGCAGGAGCTTCTAAAGATGCAGGAATGCTGGCTTGGAACGTTTGTTTCTCCTTAATGATGGCAAGAGCCAGCTCTTCTTGTGGTCTTCTTTCTGCTGCTGCAGCAGCTTTTATCCACAGAAAAACGATTTATGGAATCTTGTCATCTCTGGCTGACGAGATTCTCTTCTAATAAGAATGGAAGGAGGCCTATAAACCATTCTGTTCCAGGGCCAGGCTTGGCTTTCTGAGGAGACTATGAAAAGAATTTCATGGGCAAAACATTTCTGGGTTTGTGGGGAGGAAGGTTTTTTATTCACTCTCCCCATTGTGCTTTACTTTCAGAGCTGACAGGCAAACTAAATTATTGACTGACTTACATAGGAAACTGCCTTAAACTGAGTCACACCATTGGTCTGACTGGCAGCGTCTCTCCAGGGTTTTCAGCAGGGGTCTTTCCCAGTCCTGCCTATAGTTGTCAGGAGTTGAAACCTGGGACCTTCTGCATACAAAACAGATGCTCAGCCACTGAACTATGACACTTCCAGGAGCCAGGATAAAGAACGTCCGAAGTCCTCTCCATGGATCCCTTCAACATGAGCTACTGGCTGCAGATCGATTGATGCTTTCTTCCGCCATTACCTTATTTTCCATTTGGAATGTAAACTTTGTAGAAGCTACCCTTGTGCTGCTTTCACTGTTGAATCTGTGCCTTAACCACCACTTGTAATTATTTTTGGTGGGTATTTTAAAAAAATAACTTGCTTTTATCACTTGGCAATCTTGCATTGTGAAAGGTTGGTTATTTACCTGAAAGTTGCAGTCATTGAGAGTTGTGACTTGAATGAGGATGGTATTAAATCCTTTGGCCACCTCTAGCACTCCCAGCAGCCCACCAGTTTCCCCACCTATGCCCACTGAATCTCAGACACCTGAGGACATTGCCCCACATGCTGGATGAGGCCTGCTTTCCACGACAGTCGCTCAGAGGAGCTGGTCTGAAGCACTTCACTGACTTGGGGAAGGGCCTTAGCTCATTGGTAGAGCAACTGCTTTGCATATGGAAAATTGTAGGTTCAGTCCCCACTGGTGTCTCCAGGTAGGGCTGGAAATGACCCTGCCTGAAATGCTGGAGAGATGTTCCCAGTCAGTGGAGACAATTGAGCTAGATGGGCCAGTGGACTCTGAGTAAGGCAGCTTCCTAGGTTTCCCTAGGTTTCAATGGAGCAATCTGCCCACAGTCAGAGACAACACACATTCTCTGTTAGCGACATTTGTTTAGAACTCCCCCCAAAGCTTTATTGGAATTAATGCCAGCTGCACATTAACGCTTGAGAGTGAGAGCACAGAAGATGCCCCTTTACACTGCCCCCAAAGCTCATTGGGCTCTTAACCTGTTCTTTGATTTAGACAGGCTCCTCCCCCCCCAAAAAAAAGCTGTACTCCAGATGTTGCAAGACTCCAGCTCCCATCATCCCTAACGTTTGGTCATGCTGGCTGATGGGAATTGCAGCTGAAGCGCCACAGGTTTCCTGTCCCTGCATCTTGAAACATTGCCATAGCTGCACTTCTGTCCCACAAATACAGTACTGGCTATGTTTTTGTCTGTTCATAACTGATACAGCAGTTGCTTAGGTCTGACCCTGGTTTGCTGTTGTCTTTGCAGCGTCCTCTATGCCCTGGGGATGGCTGCTGTGGGTGTTGGCATCCTGTGGTACATCTTTCGCCTGGCCGGGATGGCAGGAAGGGAAGGAGGCTTCAGTGCCTTTGTAAGTAGTTCTCCCTCCTGCTTTGTTTTGGGTGGGCCTGGCTTCTTCTTCCCTCCCCCAGCAAAGTCAACAGCGGATGAGAATTAAGCTGTGCCAAAGGCTGGGCGGCCCTGTGCTATGTCTTGCTGCTTTTCCTATCAGCTGACGGAACTTTACAGTATTTGGCCTCATGGGTGGGGTGGTGGAGGGGGGGGCGTCCTCTGTCCCTCTAGGCTGGGAAGGCTGAGCTCAGGGAATCTGCAGGGCAGTTCTCTGCTGTTTTCAGGGCTCACTAATGACTTGCAGCTGGGAATGGCATTTCTTTTGCTTTTGTCTTGCCAGCAAATCTCACATGCAGCAGCGAACACAAATCCCTTGCTTTTAGCAAAATAACTTTTTTCAGTCTTTAAAGCTGCCTAAGCTTTTTGGACTGTGCTGTGAGCTGGCCTTCATACCTCCTGTCACATGCCTCCCTCCCAGCATCAGCCAAACCCCTGCCGCTCGGTCAGCTGAGGGGAAGGATGGTGATTTCTGTCTGTCTGCCTGCCTGCCTGCTTGGGAGGGGCTGGGGGAGGTGGAAATGGGCTGAAAAAAATGTTCTGCAGTTCAGTAGCCCAGTCAGCTCTGCCCTACTCCCTTTGCTTCCTAGCTGTGGAAGTTCCCAAGGCTCCCTCTTTACTTCCTTTAGGTGGGTGACACCCCTGGCACTTTTATTGATGCACTTCCAAGCTTGTGGCCTGCTGTAAGCTTAGTTGAAAGCCAACATTAGTAGCTGTTTTCAGCAAAGGATAATGAGCAGTTATGCAGAGGCTGTTTAGCTAAATTGTTGTTTTGTCTGTCGCTGCGGTTTAATGGAGGCTAGAATGCAGTGCCTGTTGCTTTTGAGGTCCCTGTTGCTCTGTTCGTCCTCTTCTCCCCCTGCCACCATTTAAAAAAAAGCCCCACCACCAAATCTCTTGCATAAGCAGCATTCTGAAAGCCAGGGAATTGAGTGGATCATGCTGCCATTTTGGTGGAGTGGTCGCCAGCCCGGCTAGCGAAACTAAAATTACAAGAGAGGAGTTCTAGAGAGCTCCTTCCATCTGATTTCTCTGTCTGTAGATTCTTGGCTGGAGGGTGGCGGCAGCAATTGTATGAGGCATCCCTCCAGCTTGCTACTAACATTAAAACCTAGATCAAGATAGCAGCTGAGTGAGTGGAACCACAGCCCTTCTTACCTAAAGCAGAAAATAGAACAGAAAGGCAAATAAATGGTCCGCCCTGTGGAGGATGGCACATGGGCCCTGCCAAATGCAGCGTGAGCACTTCATTGCTCAGTGAACTGCTCTTCCTCCAAGCTCATAAGAATCAGGGCTTTGTATAACCCCTGCTTTTCTTTATTTGGCTATATCTTTCTTTCTCTCTCCCCTCCACCCTGCCCACCCCTCAACAGAGTCAGCTGAAGATGGCCCGCTTCACTATTGTGCATGGGAAATCTGGGAAAGGGATCAGCTTCAAGGATGTAGCAGGAATGCATGAGGCCAAAATGGAGGTCAAGGAATTTGTGGATTATCTGAAGGTAAGACAAGTGCTGGCAAGTGCAGCTGGGAAGTTGGGAATGGGAGGGATTGAGTGGGCAATGCTGTGAATCCAGTAATGCAGGTGTGGGGAACCTTTGGCCCTCCAGGTGTTGCGGCACTACAACTCCCATCATCTGTTGGCTATGCTTGCTTGATTTACCCTGTGCAGGAATGTTGTGGGACCTTTTATTTGTAGCGTATTTGTTTTTTTGGTCACACTTGCCCCAGGATTCTTGGGGATAGGGGTATCCTTTTTCAAATAGCACTCTTTTCATTATGCCTTTTCCATCACACTATTAGCTATAGGCCTCATGAGTAGTAGTGGGCCTGATTCTTTGTGGTGCAGGGGCAGAGGGCCTGTCTCTGAGCAAGGGGTGTGGTGTGGCTGAATGGGCAACCATCTTGTCTGCCCAGCCACTAAGGGACATGAGGGGGTGTTTCTTCTTGCATGCTGTCATACATGTGGGAAAGAACATCAGTGGAAGTTTGTGATTTGCTTCCTCCAGGAGAAGATGCAGAATGAGTATGCAGCTTAAAAAAAGTTTTTTCTCCTCCCACTCCTAGAGCCCAGATCGTTACCTACAGCTTGGTGCTAAAGTTCCCAAAGGTGCCCTGTTGCTTGGACCACCAGGCTGTGGCAAGACCTTGTTGGCAAAAGCTGTTGCTACTGAGGCCCAGGTGCCATTCCTGGCGATAGCTGGCTCTGAGTTTGTGGAGGTGATAGGAGGTAAGTCCTGGGGCGGGGAGGCTGGATTCACTTAGAGGTGGTGTGTGTATTTTTTTTTTTTAATCTTTGCTTCTTCAGCAGTCAGCTTTGATTTATTTAACAGAGCCAGCTAGGTGTGAGGCATTGTACAGAAGGAATGTGGTCCTTGCAATCTGTTTCTGTGGAGCAGAACTTGACTCGGGGCTCTCAACCCCCAGGAAGGCGGCCTGAGCAAGATTCCAGGCATCCACTCAAGGGGAAATGCAGTAGCTGAATAGGGATGGTGTATATCTGGGTAGATGTAAACACCTTCCCTCCCTAGCCCACTACAGTTTCCTTTCCACAGTTGATCAAAAGGCAGAGGGGTCTCTCTCCTTGGTGAGAGCTGGAAGGAGGACTCTGTGGGAGCCTGCTCAGCTTTCCCCTGAAACAAGCAAGCAAACAAAAAGTGTGTTCCTGTGGGCTTAATGAAAATGTGGCTTACCAGGAAGAAAGCTTTGTTCTCAGTTAGTTTATTTGTAGGAAACTTTGAAGCCCTCTCACAGCGACTGGTGCTTGTGTCCTGGGGCAGTACAGCATTTTCACTGACTGATCTAATACATACATACATATATATACATACAAATATATATACAAATATATATATATATATATATATATATGCGCGTGCGCGCACACACACACACACACACACACACTCTGTGTATATATATGTATACACAGAGAGAGAGAGAGCGCGCTCCCCTCTTGACACCAGTTCTGCTGCTCTTCCTTTCTTCCACTCTGCTCAACTTCTGACCCTGGAACTTTCTAACTGAGACACCCAGTTCTGAATGGAGAGCAGCAGAAAATCCTTTTGGAGGAGCCAACCTAGTCCAGTCAAAGGCACCCTGGAAAAAAAGTTGGGGGCTTCTTGTTTCCTGGTCTGCTCTTAGGCAGCAAATATCCTCCTAGTTCAATTTGGTTTCTTGTTGCTGCTGCGATCTCTGCTGGCTCCTGAAACCAGGCAGCCCTCTGATAACCTACAACATAATAGCATATTTGAGCCCTGCTGGATCAGGCCAATGGCTCATCTAGTACAGTATCCTGTTCTCACAGTGACCAACTAAATGCCTATAGGAAGCCTGCAAGTGGGATTCAAGCACCAGAGCACCTATGATTTCCAGCTACTTTTATTAGCAACAAGGGCACTGTAGGCCTGTTGGACAAAGCACAACCAGCAGCCTTGGGACATATTTAAGATTCACCCTGGTGGAAGCTTGCAAGGGCCCAGATTCAGGAAGCAGAGCATGAGGCTATTTATTAGAATGGTTTTGTTCTCTCTTTTCCTTCCCCCCTCCCCCAACTCCCTTCTGTAGGACTTGGGGCTGCTCGCGTGCGGAGCCTCTTCAAAGAAGCCCGAGCCCGTGCACCCTGCATCGTCTACATTGATGAAATTGATGCTGTGGGGAAGAAACGCTCCACAAACATGTCTGGCTTCTCCAACACAGAGGAAGAGCAAACCTTAAACCAGCTGCTAGTAGAAATGGATGGTCAGTAGCTCAGGCGCATTCTCCAGTCTTGCTTTCTTCCTTGGCTTGTGGTCAGAAATATTTCTCCTTTCTCCACTCCAGGAGGAAAACTCTCCTCCTACGGTTGCCATGGTATTACTCACAGAAGATGGCAGCTCAAGCATGCCCCCACCCGCTCCCTGCCTTTCTCCCCCTTTTTTCCTTCATTGCTAAGCTTCTCTCTGTTGCCCAAGTACTCCTAGATTCTCCAAAGAGTTCCAAACTCTCCTTGTCACACTTTCCACCCCCCCTCACTCTCCAGTTTGACTTCGACCTGCATCCAGAAAGGGAGGGTCACAGTTGTAGGTTACAGGCAGGCCACTTCAATTAAGATTAGTTAGATGTGGTAACCAATGATATAACTCTAGTAAATGCATAAAAAAATTTCCCAAGATGGGTGGGTTTAAAGCCTGTTTACTTGGAAAAGAAAGATTGGATGCAGAGGGGCAGAAGCAGATACAGTTAGTTCCTTCTGCTCTTGTCTAACTTTCTGCCTTCACTCCTTCAGCTAGTGCAATCCCACCCCAAAGCAACACTTTGGCCACTCCCACTGCTCTCCTCTCCCAGCTCTGCCTACTGTCTTTCGGACCTGGCAGCAAGAAGCAAGAGAGATTCTCATTTGGTTGCTAGGTTTCTTTTGGTTGCTTATTGCATGCCTTGTGTGTTACTGCTATCACTGGGTCTCTTGGTAGAGACTCAAGGTATTGAGACTGGACCCATTGGTGGGTTCTTAAAACTCTCTGAAATGTACCACCTGGCTGGTTTTCCGCTTGTGTGCACAAGTGTGTGCACGTATGTGTCTGTGGCTGTAGAATTTCCTGTTCCCTAAGCTCTCTTGGGGAAAATATTTTCAGGTACTCCTTAGGGCAGGGATAGGGAACCTGTGGCCTTCCAGATTATGTTGGACACTAACTGCCATCAGCCCTAGCCAGCAATGGACAGACATGATATCCAGCAACATCTGGAGCTCCACAGGATCCCCAACCCTGCCTGAAATAAGTACAACATTTAGGGGGAGGCCAATGCTAAGAAGCACCAAGTGGTGCTGGAAAGGTGGCCCAAGACTTCAAGCCTTAGCTAGCCTTTTGCTTCAGCTGGTATCTGTCTGGGAGAAGACCTCTTCAGAAGTGCCTTGGCTGGGAGCCAGCCGAAGCTTCATCTGGCCCCAGCATAGCAGTCTGCGGTGTGCTTGACAGACCCAGCCAGCATCTTGCTTTGTCTCTAATATTGATGCAGCCACTCTGTACTACTAGTGTAGCTGAAACTAGATGAGTGAGGTTGAAACGATGTGCTTTTAAAAGAGTCTCTGCTAAAGCACGAAAGCACCCTCTTTTGCTTCATGCTGGCTGATCAGAATGAACTGAGCTGAACTAAGGAACATGAGGAAAGCAGTTCCTGTGAGGAACAGTTGAAAGAGCCAAGTATGTTCAGCTTGGGGAAGGGAAGGTTGGGGGAAGACATGATCGCAGTCTTAAAATCTAGGAAGGGCTGTCATTCAGGAGAGCATGGAGCAGACTTGCTCTCTTTTCCTCCAAGGGTGAGGAGGTCTAGAATGAATGGGCAAAAAGTACAGACTGCAGATTTTAGCTGAACTTTAGGAGAAAGTTCTGAATGGTAAGAGCTGTTTGACAACAGAACAGACTCTGCCTTGGGAGGTGGCAGACTGTCCTTCTCTGGGCATATTGAATTACAGCCTGGGTGGTCACCTGTCAGGGATGTTGTGCTTGCATTCTGCATTGCAGGTCCTGGATTGAGCCAGAGGGGGACTAGTTGACCTCTAAGGTCCCTTCCATCACAAAGGTTATATGAAGAGTGTGTGTATGTGCGCACATGCTCCCATGCAATGTTAACTCTGCCATACAGCTTTGAGCATGATTGGTCCATTCTCCATGCACATACTGATCTTGGGCTCTACTAAAACTTGGATTTGAGCCTTGCTTTTTCCAAAAATTGAATAATCTTCCACCAGATGGTCAGAAGCCTCCCTGCTCTCAGCTAAAGTGTGCAAGCAGTCGACCACTCTTCATCCCTGAATAGAAGGTTGCTTGCTTTGTTAAATTTGCCATACTTTGGGTGGAAACAGAAGTGTATGCATATCCCAGTAGGTTGAGAGAGCTGGGTAGTTGTGTAACAGGGAGAGCACCTGTTAGATCCAGAATTGCTTCCTTTCATTCTGCCCTTTGTGCCCTGGGAGTGGGGGAGGCAGCTCCTCTCCAGGAGTCTTGTTGCCTTAATCACACTCCGTTGCCAGTTCAGTCATGTTGAAGCTAGGGGTGTTGATTTGGGGGAGGGCGGAGAATAGATTGACAAGGGGTCACAGGATTATAAAAGGCTCAGTCTGGAGCCTTGCACTCCCAGGCCTTGTTCTGATGGTGTCTTTGGTGAGCACTGGAAAGCTTGTTGTGTTTGGTGATGGATCTGCTGGTTGTCTGATCTATTTTGGGAGCACTTCTTCCCAGGAGCAAAGCAGCTAATGTTCTGCTTGCACTAATCTTGCCATAGGAATGAAGCTGCTTAGCCCACGTGACTGACTCCCAGCGCCTCTATTTCCTTCCTTCTTGCCTTGCAAAATACCCTGACAGACTGATGCACAGTTGTGCTTTGTTGTCTTCTGGAATTTGCCTCCACAGCATCCCGCAAGGAGGCAGAAGTGAGGCTCATTAGGTAGCAGCATGCAGTAGGAGAGTGGACCTCTGGGTTATCTGGAGGATAAATCCCTTGGGTGAGCTATTGTGCTCATCTCTTGGGCAGCGTGGGCAGAATATGCCCATGCTGCCCCCACTCTAAGGCAGCAGTGTGTGCTTCTGCAGTTCAAGCAAGGAAGAAGCCTAGCTATATCTGCCTCATGCCAAGAGCTTCCTGTGTAGCTTGTATTTGGCTGGCTGCATTGCCCCACAGCTGTGGTCATGCCATTTAAAGATGGCAGTTCTGCCAAATGCACGCTGCCGCTAAAATGTTATCTTCAGTATACTGACAACTGCTAGAATGCAAACTGTTAACATAATTGTGAGAGAAGTTGCATCAATGGATTAACAAATAAGTTGTATGAATGCTGATCACATTTGAGTCTAGCGGGCTTCAGTGTCTTCTGCAATTCAGGGATTGGAATTGTAAGGACAGGACAATTAAAAATATATATTTCTGTGTGTTCTTAGTTGTATAAAATGTGCAATAAACCATTTAAAGGAGGAAATTGTGTCCAGATCTCTAGCGTTCTGGCATTTATATAATCCACATGAGTCAATTTTCGCTAGATAGGTCCACGAGCACCTGCTTGATTGCAGCCTCTTCTTTCCCCGCCCATGACCTTGCATATTAAAGCATGTTTGTGTACATTTGACCTCTCATGCAGGGAAATATCTCTCTCTGGAGCTTCTTGCACAGGTGGCACATTCCATTCACTTCTGCTCTTCACATTTTTCTCTGTTGCAGGCATGGGGACCACCGATCATGTCATAGTGCTAGCATCCACCAACCGGGCAGATATCTTGGACAATGCTCTCATGAGACCTGGGAGGCTTGACCGCCACATTTTTATTGATCTGCCTACTCTGCAGGTATTATTTGGACCCACCTCTGCTGTGACTCTTGGATTCTGTGGTTAAGGTATTGGGCAGTGGCAGAGGCTAGGCAGTGGATTGTGGACACTTGTCTTCTTTAGTATTTGACTCACAATTGGTGCACTCAATCCCAGGAACTGGATTCACTCCATTGTTGGTTTTCTGCTATAAGGGTGTTTCTGTCGCTTCCTGTTGGAGCTCTAGCAGAATCTCGGCTTTGTGAATGGTGCGTTCAAATTGCAGGCCTACATGAGCTCAGTAAACCTATAAAACCAGGTCTGCTGGGTTTATGTTGACCCACAATTGGAAGAGCACGAACCATAAAGTTCAGTAGTCAGTGTCAATCGGACAGTCAGGAACTATGAGGATTTCCACACAAATTTACTTAAAACAACAACAACAACCTTTGTGCTAAGAAAAGGAACTGGTTATGCGAGAGGCACCTTTTGGGAGTACTGCAGTAATAGTTCTCAGAACATGACCCATGTGCCTTTGCTGTGGTGCTTTTAAGCAAAGGACCAAATGCTTTCAATCAGATTTGTGTGTGTAGATGGATGCAGAATCACACAGTATGAATTTGTGCATTTAGAACTCTTAAGGCAGGCTTGGCCTGACTTCAGTCTTGCGTGGTCTGCTTTTTAAAAACACACACAACTGAAATCTCTGTGGTTCAAGCATGTCTTTTTTTAAAAAACACACACACACACAAAAAACCCCACAGAGCTTAAAATAGCTCCCTGCTTGCATCCCTAGGTATTTGACTGCTAGCCAGGTAGAAAAGAGTCTTGCGTGTTTCCAGAAGACATTTGGGGCTTCTTGTGATCTCAGTAGGCAGAGTTAAGTGCACGCAGTGGGAAGCATAGAAAACGGCCCAAAGAAAAGGAACCTCCTTGTCCTCCTCCTCCTCCATTAATCCTATGTAAGGTTTCCTTTTCTCCCCACTGCCCTCCCCGGAACAGCTCATAAATGGCTGCATCCGCTTGGGCGGTAAGCAGGACCTGAATTGAGATGAGGGTTTTCCTTTTTAAACAGCACCAGCATCCCCTCCTCCCATCTGGGGCTTCGCTATCCTCCTGCTCCTCCAGGTTTTCGCTTAAAATACCTCAAATGCCTGATACGATCTGGCACCGGAAAAGTGAGCTGTGCAGCTGCTTTGAAGGAGGAAGGAGAAGGAAATCCTGGCAGCTGAGCCCACTGCTTTAATCAGGACCGCCTGGACCAGCTGAATGAGTCACTTGCTGGCCTGTAGCCAGCTAGATCTGGCCCCCTCGCCCCAATTGCAAATTGCCTCTCTTCATTCAAGGAGAGGGGAGCATCTGCAAAGCCCCAATTCTCTCTCCCTCTCCCTCTGTCTGTCTCCCCCACCCCCCACCCGCTCGGTCATGCAAGTGCTATGATGATAGAAACATTAAGGAATAAATCAAAATTAATAGGAGGGGGGTATAGCGAGAGGAATGACCTTTGGAGGGAAGAGCCAATGACTTCTTGCAATGACTTCTTTACATCTGTCCTGCATTTGAAAGAAGCCGTGGAAGTATCCAGAACCTGGAAAGATAGGCAAGCAAGAGAGACTCTGCCCCCTGGTGGTTTTGCCTTGTAATAATCATGGCTTTGCCAAGCCTGGCATCTTCCGTTGAGTAGACATTCCTTCTTTCAGAAATCCTGCTTCTGAAGAAGCAGCAACCCCAAATGCATGGTGAGGCTTGTTGGGGTGGCAATCTACTCCAGCTTCTCTTCAGGCCTCTCCCAAAAGGCATCTTGATTTGAGCCTACAACAGGGGTAGCAGCCCTGCCTCATATTGCTGGTCTGCAACTTGCGTCATGACCATTGGCTGAGGCTGGCAGGAACATCTGGAGGGCACTCTGTTCACTACCACTTGCCTACAGTCTGTATTTTCAATAGAAACTACTCAGGTTCTGTGGGGCAGCGTGTATTTTTCTACACACACGGGCACACAGGCTTTTAAAAATGCTTTAAAAAATCTAATATTTTTAGACTGTGTTGTGGACTCCTGTTCTTTTGCCTTGCCACTTCTCTCTCCTTTCAGTTGCTTTATCCCAAGCTAAGGAGGATGCACAGTGTCCTCAAGCCAAAGCCCACGTCCTAGTGAGATTACCCACTACACCACACTGGCTCCAATAGTTTTTGGGTGGTTTATGCATGTTTTGACATAGGGATGATAACAATCTTCTGTAAAGTCTAGAGAAGCAGTTGCAGGGGTGGATGAAGGTCTACCTGGTCCATCATTCTTTGCAAGAATAAGTAACAAACAAATAAGAATAAATAAGCAGGAAGGCTGTGAACCTGGGACTCCCTTCTACCCACCCTTCTGCTTTTAGAGGACAAGGTGATGTCAGCATCTTCCTTTCTTCTGATGCCCATTTGTGCCCTTCAGCATCAGCTGCGCCATGCAAAACTGCTCTGTCTTGTTCCTTGCAGGAGAGGCGGGAGATCTTTGAGCAGCACCTGAAGGGCCTGAAGCTGTCTCAGGCTGGCACTTTTTATTCCCAGCGCTTGGCTGAGCTCACTCCGGGGTTCAGTGGTATGTAAGAGCAGCTGTTTGTCTGGTTTTCCTTTGTTTTGTTGTTGTTGCTGTTTGCATCCAGCCACATGTTAGCAATCTCTGTAGCGCACTTTAGTCATGTATGGCTTGGCTACCTTCCACCCGGCTGCTTCCTTCCAATGCTGCTGCTGTGTGTGATGTGAAAGAAAAGAGGGCCAAAGCCCCCCCCCCCCAGTGCTGTAGTTATGCTGGATGGAAATTGACACGCAGACTAGTACCTAGCCTGGTTGTGCTAAATCCATGAATCGGCCAGTTTTCCAGCATTTTTGTTAGTTTTTCTTCCAACAGAGGTAGTAAAAAACAATTCGTACTTGGCGTGTGTGACGCAGATTTTTGTGGGGTTGGAGCTGCTGCTTCTGGTTGTGCCTGCTGGAAACTTAGTAGCTGGAAAATCAGTGCAATTATCTGGGGAAATGTTTCTGCAGTCTAAAATATTTTAACTGAGCAGTTCAGCATTGGATTAGCTTGAGAGAAACGGGTAGGACATTCCTGCTTTCCTGAGCCTCTAGTCCATCTCCGAGCTCAGAACAAAGCTGTGAATTTCCTGTTTGTGGAGTATCCTCTGTGAGTTCCCCGCTGGTGGCCCCCGCTCTGCCTCTTCCGTGATTCCTTTGAGCAGCCCCCACACCACCCACATGCTCAAAACTCAGAACAGATGTGCCTTCTCCTCCCTGGAGAAACTTGTGTGATTGTGGTCAGAAGAGCCCCAGCGGGCAATGCCAAGCCCAGGCCACCCTCTCCTAAGCCCAGCTTGAGACGGCGCTTGATTAACTCATTGCTGTCCACCATGAAGCCTCTCCTTGAGGGTCACCTTGTGGTTTTGAATCTAGCATACAGAGCACAATAGCGAGAGGCTTGCAAGATCCTGCTTCTTTCTGCTTTGCATAACAGCCCCTTCCCCCCTCACTTCCTGATTCCCCCTCCTTTGTACTCTGCTTTTTAAAAACTCTTATTTGCAGAACAACTTTTTTTATCACAGTAAAATGCGACAAAGGGAAGCTGATTGAAAAGAAATTCACAGAAAGCACTAATGGTTGCTAGTAGTACCCCTAAAAAGATGTGGCAACATTCTTGACAACAGGAAGTCCAATTCAGGGAAAATAACAAATCAGAGTTAGAGATCAAGCATGTTACGTAGCCAGAGTGATAAAAAAGGAATATATTGTGCCAACAACTACATAATAAATACACTGTTAAACATTTCAAGCCTAGAATGTCGGCTCTGCCTCTCATTACCTTGACTAAAACAAAACAATCTCGTTTTTTAAAATAGGTCATAGAAGCAGCTTAAAGAAGCAGCTCTGTCAGATACTAGAAATGCCCACACTTTATCAAGCAATGCTACTGAGGTTTGATTCTGTTCTGTGATTTAGGGGAAAAAAGTTGCCACTGTAAACAGGTGGGCTACAAGAGTCGAAGCAGGTACACATAGCTTCTTTACATAACCTAACAATGCCACAGGGATGTAATGTGGGGGCATTGCATGTAATGGATTTGAAAAGTTGCAGAATCTTAACCCCAAACGAGCAGCATTTTAGGGCATCACATTCAGGTATTGAAGAGGAATCTCTTGATGCAAGTGGAGAGCAGTTAACATTCAGGTGGCATTGGACATCAGGCAAGGTGGTGCCAGCACCTCAAAGGCTGCACTGCTTCATCTTCTTTTCTTGCAACCTAAGAAAAACTGGTGGCTAAAGACAGGAGGACGTTGTTGCTGTAATTATTGTTATTAAAATTGTATACCAGCCTCCCTAAGGAGCCTAGGTTGGCAAACACACAATCAAAGCATTAAAAAAAAGCTCCAGTATAGACACAGACAAGGGACGCGGGTGGCGCTGTGGGTAAAACCTCAGTGCCTAGGACTTGCTGATCATAAGGTCGGCGGTTCGAATCCCCGCGGCGGGGTGAGCTCCCGTCTTTCAGTCCCAGCTCCTGCCCACCTAGCAATTCGAAAACACGCTTAAGTGCAAGTAGATAAATAGGTACCGCTTTATAGCGGGAAGGTAAACGCTGTTTCCGTGTGCAGCACTGGTGCTGGCTCGCCAGTTGCAGCTTCGTCACGCTGGCCACATGACCCGGAAGTGTCTTCGGACGGCGCTGGCTCCCGGCCTCTTGAGCAAGATGAGCGCGCAACCCTAGAGTCGGTCACGACTGGCCCGTACGGGCAGGGGTACCTTTACCTTTACCTTATAGACACAGACAGGGAAAAGCCTCCACTTAAAAGGCTTGTTGGAAGAGGAAAGTCTTCAGTTGGGTAGAACTGGTCCCAACCTGGGGTTTGGGAGGATGGTACATCATTCTCAGGGTCCAACTGGTCATATTTTTAGGTGTTGGGAAGGAAATTTCATCCCCTCTTCATAATGGCAAGTGGTGACTTGGGCAATTTCTTCCCCTACTCCTTCCGTGTTGGTGTTACAGGTTGGCTTGTTTGCTTGATTCCCCTGGAGTCACTACCTACCCTTCAGGTGCATCCTTGGGTGCAGAGTACTGTACCATTTTTATACACCCTCTTTGAGTTGTTCCATGGAGGATCATTGCTTGGGAGAGGATGTCGGGCTTGATAGTTACCTGCTCTGTTCCCGCTCTCTGATCCCAAGAAAACCCAATGAGTGTGTGTTGCTCTGTCTACAGGAGCAGACATAGCCAACATCTGTAATGAGGCCGCTCTCCACGCAGCAAGGGAGGGGCATAAGTCCATCGACACATTCAATTTTGAGTACGCTGTGGAGAGAGTCATTGCAGGTAAGGTTTCTTTTTGGGTGACATGTTGGTCAGTTTTCTTCAGTCTACGGTAAAGTGTAACATGATAAAGGGTTTTGCCATCATTGCCAGTTTAACACAGCCAAGCTGCCAGTGGACAGCTGCAGGGTGAAGGAGCATAAATGGAGTGGTGTGAATCAGGTCTGCTTAATTAGAGACCACGAAGAAGCCTCTCTGTTTGGGTGTATATGTTTTACAATACCTTGGCTTTGCTGGCCTTAATGGGGGCTTTCCATGTATTGTTAGGGTCTTGCTTTGTGCATAGCTACAATTTCTGAAGACTGCCTGGTGAGTGGCAGGAGATTTTTGTGTGTTGATTTTTATCAAGGAATACATTGCTGGAATCCAACCTTTGCATATATATTTCAGCAGTTGCCTTCTCCAGGGAAAAATCTTAAGGGCTTGCCCTATCCTACATGGACCATTTATTTGGATACACTCCCGCAGGGCCAGAGTTTAATAGGCTGTTTAAAAGTGGTATCAGGGTCTGAAGGATGAATTGACAGACCTGTGTTATTGCAACTATCAATGCAATAAAGAATTGTTGCTGGCTCTCTTAGGCCTTGGGTCATGATAGCGGAGAGTTCTCTGACTTACAGCTGAGTGATAGTGCATAAGGGGCAGAGAAAGCCTTTTCCCTTCTCAGCCTTGCAGATTAAAATAGTGGTGCACCTTAGTAGCATATCCTGGGAAATGGAATTTTTGTCCTCCATCTGCCCCACAGGGACCGCTAAAAAGAGCAAAATCTTGTCGCCGGAGGAGCGGAGAGTTGTGGCATTTCATGAGTCAGGTCACACACTTGTAGGCTGGCTGTTGGAGCACACAGAGGCAGCGATGAAGGTACTGATGAAGGACATGGGACATGGTAATCAAGAGCAGCTGATGCCTCTTGAACTCATTCTCTGCAATACAAGTTGGGCCTCTCCTTTTTTCTTTTCTTCCCTTCCCACTATCTCACAGGTTTCCATCGCTCCTCGCACCAATGCTGCCTTGGGCTTCACCCAGATCCTGCCAAAGGACCAATACCTCCTTACCAAGGACCAGCTCTTTGAGCGGATGTGCATGGCCCTGGGAGGGAGAGTTTCAGAAGCCATCACCTTTAATAAAGTCACTACAGGTGAGGAAGCCAAATATGTGCTTCATCTTGTTGACCTCCTGTCTTTCAGTTGTGCTGCAGGCTTCTCTTTGTTAAATGTCCTTCCACTGTGCTTGAGGAATGAAGCCAATGAGCTTGCATAGACATTAACCCCCACCCAGAATAGGAGGGGGGTATCTTGACACTTCTGATGCATGTAGCACTACCCCTTAAGTTCTTTTTTATCCATTGTTTACTCCAGGGGCACAAGATGACCTGAGGAAGGTCACCAAGATAGCCTATTCAATGGTGAAGCAATATGGGATGGTGCCCAATGTTGGATACTTGTCCTTCCCAGAAAAGGAAAGTACCCCAGGGATAGGACGGCGTCCCTTCAGCCACGGACTCCAGCAAATTATGGACCATGTAAGTTCTCTTCATGGATATAAAGCTCCAACAAAAATGCTTGCCTGTTCACAGGTTTTAAAGGGCCCTGAAGCAGAGCCGTTTTGTTATGTTGCAGTTTCCCAGGGAGAATAAGGCTAATCATGTGAGACTGTAACCACTAGCCCAGAGGAATTCGCAGTGTGAATGCCACTTTTCGAAGGAAAGGGCTTTATTGCCCAAGTTGGCTTGTGTTGACCCTTGTAAACAGGATGCAAACAAGATTAGCTTGGCACTGCAAAGTGTGTGTAGTTATGGAGAAGGAGGCCAACCGCCAATCCTGAAGTCTAGCTGAACACCATCCCATGTCTTCCTGTACATTTTTGTTGCTGCTAGCAGCATCTTTGCTGTGCTTTTCAGTTGCTTCAAGGGTTCTAGTCTTGGATAGGTCCCAGTCCTAAGGGGATGATGTTGGTAGAATTCTAAACCAATAAAGACCCAAACTTACTAAGTCACTGCCTTCCTTCCCACACAATAAAAGCCGCTCATTGAATTGACTTACGGCAAGTGCTAGAAAAAGGTTAGGACTAATCACTTGAAGGAAGCATATAAACAGAACTGGAGGGGAATAGTTAGGCTGAACATTGCCTAGTCCTACTTTAAATGTGAGATGTGCCATCACACTCTGCACCCAACTAAGCTCTTCTTTACCCATGAGCTGTTCTTCATTAGGATCTCTGGGGCTCTGTGTCTTTGCTGAAGGGGTATGAACTGCAGCTCAGAATCTTCATCTCTCTTGGCTCAGCCTTGTTGCTATAACTCCTCCTCTGGTTTTTGTTTCCCTTCTAGGAAGCAAAGATGCTGGTGGCCCAAGCCTACAGGCACACAGAGAAACTGCTGTTAGAGAATCGGGACAAACTGAAAGCAGTAAGGCTTGCAGAACACCAGAGGGATTCAGATTGAATTGGGCGTGGGGGTGACTGGGAAGTGGGGGTGATCCAGACTCAGAACCCTGCTCTGCTGTTGAAAGTTCAGTGGCTGGCCATGGGCAAGTTGCTTCTCTTTAGCCTAGCTACAGGGTAGCTTGTGAGGCTTCAAAAAGTGCTTTGAGCAACTTGGCAGGGGAGGACTGGTTTTTTAAAAACAAGGTAGCAGCTCCTCTGCTGAGAGCCAACTAAGAGAGCAAAACTAAGATGATTCCTCTGCAAAGTCTTAGATACTGTTTTGGTTGCCACTTGCATTGGGAAGCACGGCAGCCCTTTTCCTTGGCTGATAATGGCAAGAAGCAGTGGGTTGTGGCGCATTTCATCTCCTTGTGATGCCAGGAATGTGAAGGGAGAAACTCTTAGAGCTGCAGGGTAGGAGGCCTGATGTAACATTCCTCAAATGGCCCCACATGTGCATCCTTGTCCCTTTCTTTGTACATTCACACCACTGCCATACATTTTCTTTCATAGCTACATACACAATACTTCTCTTAATGGTTATCTTTGCTTTATGCAATGGCACCTGGCATGGGAGAAGAGAGGTGTGTGTAGAATGCAAGTTCTTTCCTGCATGTGATAAACTGTCCTCAAACTGTTGCTTCCTTTTAAGATCAGGGTGGGGGGAAAGAATCCTTTGAATGGAATGTGGTGTCCTAAAGCAGGTGCAGGAAACCTGTGGCGCTCCAAATGTTGTTGGATTACAACACCCATCATCCCTGACCTTTGGCCATGCTGGCTTCAGGGACTGGTGGGGGTTGGAGTCCAGCAACGTCTGAAAGGTCTTAGGTTTCCATCCCTGTCCTTGAGAGTGCTTTCCTTGAGGTGAGTTGGTCCTTGCATCAGCCAGTGGATGGCTGAGCCCCAGTGTATCCTATTTCCATGTTTAGGTTTCTCTGGCCTGTGTGTGCATGCAAATGCTTACCATCTGTCACCTTTTCTGTGTCTAGCTGGCCGATGCCCTGCTGGAGAAAGAAGTCATCAACTACGATGACATAGAAGCCTTGATTGGGCCTCCTCCACATGGGCCCAAGAAAATGATTAGCCCTCAGAGCTGGATTGAGGCTGAGAGGGACAAACAAGATATGGGAGATGAAGAGGCACCTCAGTCACCCCAGAGCCGAGAGGAGGAGGAAGAGTTTGACCAGAGACCAGTTTGAAAATGCCCAAGTGAGATAAGGGACTGAGCAGCTTCCTTTCTGAACTAGAGGCGCAAAGAGAGTTATTTCATGCCTGTGTGTAGGCTGCTCTGCTCATATTTTGTGATGGGCTGCAAGCAGGGTCCAACTTCCCCTGCTCTAAAAATGATCAAGCTGTGGTTGATGTATGTGTATGGGCTCATCAAGGCTCATTGGGAAAGGTCCCAGTGCCTCTGGGTCACCAGCTTACAGTTAGGGGAATGTGTGTGGTCAGTCTGGGCAGAACCAGCCATTGTGTCATAGTCCTCCCACAAAAGCAGCTGCTGTGCTCTGCTTCATCTTCTTCTTTTTTCTGGTGCCACACACTGCAACCCTCCTTTGACATGACAGCAATAGCTGCATCACTAGCATCCAGAGTTTAATGCTTCGCCCTAGAACCAACAACACAAATATTTCCCTGATTTTTACGCATGTCTCTTGAGGTGTAGAAAGTCTGATATGGACAATGGAGATGTAGATTTCCTTTGACCTATGTCACCATGCCACAAAGATATAGGTCCTTTGACCTATGTAACTCTGGCCACAAAAATAGGGGCAGGCACAACCTCTGAATGCTGGTGGGGCTCCCTGGAGTGACTTGGAAGGGAGAGAGAATCCTCAAGCCTTTCGGAGAGTACTCTGGCTGGCTGGTAGCTTCTGGTTCTTACAGGCCTTTAGACTGAATGTGTCTCTAAAGCAGCTTGTAACAGGAGTTGGGTGGGGGGAGGGATAGTCAGTTTCCTGCTGTACAATAACAGCTGAAGGGAGGTGGAGTGGAGAGAGAAAAGGGCTAGCTGCATTTTCAAACACACTCCATAGATTATTTCCATGAGGACTATTGTCTGTATCCTTATACAACCCTTGTCCAGATTTTCCTCCACTCCTGCCAATATTTAATTGGCAGTTCTCAAAACTGCCTCTTTTCTGAGACTACCCTCGTGCATAGATGGGATGAGCGTGCACACATTTGCACTCTGAATTGCCTCAACGTGACGAGAGTTTGCTATTTAGAACTGCGGCTATTAAAATCCCTGGAGATCCTCCTGAATATGTATTTCAACATGTGATATTGCACGACGACATAAAAGAAAACCAAGCATTTCAGCATTGGTCTGTAAGCAGTCCCTTTCTCCATCTCCCCCAGTGGGCCTTGAAAGAAAAGTCATTGGTGATCTTTGTGTACCACCTAGTGGTCTATTGACAAATTTGTACCAAATTGCTGTATATCTGTGACAATATCTGTGGGGCAATATGCTAAGTTTCTGAATCACAGTGGCAGTAATTTAGCCCATTTCCCTCCAAGAGGGAGCCAGACTCGCCAGACTCACTGGCAGTAGCTGAGCTTTAGCACAAGGGTGGTTAATGCTTTGGCTCATGGAATTGCAGAGATGAAAGGGATCCCAAGGGCCATCTAGTCCAGCCCCCTGCAATGCAGGAATGTTAGCTAAATCATACATGACAGATGGCCATCTCGCATCTGCTTAAAAACCTCCATCTATAGTGGCATCATATTGAAAGAAATTCTGGAGCAAGAAAGTCATGTTAAATTTAACTGTGCTGGGTTTTGGCATATGAAATGGTTGGTATGTCTCTCCAGTTGGGTATTTCTCAGGAAAATGAAATTTGAAAATTGTTCAATTGAAGAAGTTGTCACTGGGGGAGGGATGGTAAGAGAGCCACAAGTGTTCCCCACCTTGATTTTTCCACTTTTCTTATCTTTCCAAGAGTTCCTGCTCAATGTATTTATAAACCATGACCTAGCACAAACTGTAATAAATCTCTATCATCTCAGCTGCTTGTATCTTTGCCATCTATTAAAAAATGAAATAAACTTTTACAGAACTCAAATACCACTCACTAGTCATTTATCGTCATTCTCAATGGGCGTGAGTCCTCATTTAAACTGTTCTATTACTGCAAATACAATCTATGACATTAATATGTGCCATTTTCAGTATATGCAACTCACTGTAGTCTGTTCAATGAAGTGCACTGTGTTCCCTTGCTTAAAATGCCGCTAGTGGGGAGTCTGCTATACCTGATGCGATAAAAAATTCTCATTGGCCAAGCTATGCCAGTGCTCAATAGTGCCTGGCTGTTGGGGAGCAGGATGCTGAAGTATCTTTATCAGATCCTACAGAGCTTTTCTTAAGTGTGTCACAGTGTTATTCGGGCTACAATGTTATGCATGCAATATTGCTTGTTAGACCTTTTAAGCTCAGTAAGACTTTAGATATGCATGCATCAGTTCAGGCTACTGTAGGCTCAGGTTACTGCAGATGCTATCCGTGACATTAATATGTGCCATTTTCAACATGTACAATTCACTGCTGTCTGTTCCTTTTAGTGGCAATAGGGGAGAATCGCCTAGATTTGGCCCAACGGAGAATCTTATTGGCCACAGTTAAGGCAGTGCTCATGGTGCCTGGCCACTGGGGAGCAAGGTATTGAACTCTGATTTATCAGATCCTGCAGAACTTTTATTAAGTTTGTCACAGTGCAATTGGGATTACAATTCTAAGGACATTAGAACAGCATGCTGGATTTTTGTTCAGAATTCTGTATTCTGAGTGGCTAACCAGATGCCAATGGGACACCAGTAAGCAGGACTTGTGCACTATAAAAGTGGGATGTTGGGTTTCCTGTGTAATGAGCACATTTATTCAGAAATAGAAGGGGACTTGCAAGCCTGCAGTTCTCTTCACTACTTTCATGGCTGGTCTCAGAGAAAACCTTGCCAGCTTCAGACAACCCTGAAACACAAACAGACATACTGAGGGGGATGGCAGCCATCTGACAGCATCATCCAGCCACCTCCACTGGCTTCTGCCTGGCAACTTCATCCCTCACTTCAGCCTGCCAACTTCCACTGGCTTCCACCCATGAATATCCTCTGGTTCATGTATTCACCCTGTGCCAGGAGGGCGGCTTCCAGAACCCCCTGAATGCACCCAGACACACACCATTCACCTCAACCAGTTTACATCCACAAACATCAGCCTGCTCCAGCCTTTCAGCATCCACTGGCTTCTGAATGCATACGTCACCAGCTTCCACCCAGCAAACCTGCCAACTTCCACCAGGTCCATCACCAGACATCAGTCAGCTGCTGCTTTCTGTCTGCCACTTCACCTCCATGTGGAAGGAGGTCACCCAGTGCTGAATGATACAGCTGTTGCTTACCGTGTTCTCTTCAGGAAGGTTTATGCCTTGGTTCTCCCCTTGGCCCACCTTTATGTCCAGTCAGTGGCTATATGCTTTTGGGACATGGGTGGTGCTGTGATCTAAACCACTGAGCCTCTTGGGTTTCCAATCAGATCGTCAGTGGTTCAAATCTGAGCAATGGGTGAGCTCCTGTTGCTCTGTCCCAGCTCCTGCCAACCTAGCAGTTCGAAAGCAAGCCAGTGCAAGTAGATAGACAGGTACCACTGTGGTGGGAAGGTAAATGGCATTTCCATGTGCTCTGGCTCTCATCATGGTCCTCCATCTGCCAGTAGTAGTTTAGTCATGCTGGCCACACGACCCAGAAAGCTGTCTGTGGACAAACGTCGGCTCCCTTGGCCTGAAAAGTGAGATGAGCACCGCAACCCCATAGTCACCTTTGACTGGACTTAACCATCCAGGGGTCCTTTACATTACTTTTCTACCGTTGCTTTTGTGGGAGGTGAGTTCTTGTGCTTTTGAGCCAACCCAAGCAGTAGCTGGTGAGGCATCATCATCACCTCCCCACCCCCCCACAATGGTGAGTGCAGTTTCAGCAGTAGTTTGTTCCTTTGCATTACCTATTGCCTCATGTGCTGATACCAAGGAAAGACACATTATAAACCTGTGGGGAGAGGGGCATTTTTCAGCCCAATGGCTGCATTTCCCTCTGGCCAACCTTCAGGGACTACATCCCGATGGTGGGTGGGGTCAAATGCCAAACGGAAAGGAACAGTAAATGTGACTCTTTGAATAGGAGACTCCCTTCCCGCGCCCCTCCATGCATTACGAGCCGGCAGAATTGTACGGCCGCGGTACCTTTAAGATGGGCGCCATCTTTGTTACTGACAAGCTATGTGTTGGACATAGCGGCTGACGCCAGTGAGGGTAATTCCCTCTCCCTGATTGGCCGCGGACGGAACGTTTCGCGTTTCCTGAACCGGGTCACGCACGGCGGCTCAGATATCCCAGAGTTCCTGGCGAGAGTTCTTTCTTTTTCCGGCCGGCCATTTTCTCTCCCGGGAGGTGAGTTCTCGTGCTGGGGGAGGCCTGGTTGGCTATCCGCCTTCATCCGTCGCCTGCGCGGGGATGGGGGACTCCGGGGGCGGACTCCGGGGTTCTAGAGGGTCTTGTGGACGTTACGGAAAGGTTATGGGGTCCCGGTGGGGAGACTGATGGGCTCTTGCCTGGTTGTTAGAAGCGATCCTTTGCGCTCCATGGAGCTTCTGGATCTGCCTCGTTATTTAGAAAGCCCAGCCAGAGCTCAGAAGTGGAGCACACAGGCTTTGCACGCAGGCGGGCCCAAGCTCAGCCTCTGGCGCCTCGGTTAGGACGGCTAGCGGCCCTCGAGGAGAGCATCCAGTGTTGGGTAAGTGAAGCCAGCGTCCCAGGGGCATCCGTAGCGCATTCATATATCGTGGTACCAGGTTCTGTCTCTGGCCAAAAATTATTGCACCAATCAATAGGATTTGTAGCCCGGTTAGTCAAGCCACAGCTACAGTATTTCGGAGTGATATTGGCTAGTGAAGAACGACCTACTACAACTCATTAACTGTAGTAGTTTTGGCTAAAATGTAATGTCCTGAAGAAGTGCAGGGTATTTGTGTTGCTGGGTGTTTTCGTGTTCATTGAGGATTTTATTGTTGACTGCAGAAATGGTTTCCCCTTTATGGGATTTAGTCAAGTGTCGCTCCCTCAGCCTGTAAAGCGAGAAGAGCGCCGCAGTCTGCGACTGGACTTAACTTTCAGGGGTCCTTTACCTTTACCATTGTATCCCTGAATGCTAACGAGCTTTTGAACGTTTTAAACAAGCAGTTTTAAAGCCACCAGCTTTTTCTTATTCATAGTGAAATAAACCATTTTTCTTCAGCTTAACAGCAGGGTTTGAGTCAGCATGAGGTAGGTTCCTGTGTGGGGATGGAGTCTAGTTTAGTGGGTGTAACACAGACTTTGCCTGCAGAAGGCCACTGGTTTAAGCTCTTGGATAGCAGGACAAGGAAGACTTTGAAGAGCCCCAGCCAGCCAGATCAGTCAGTACAGTATTGGGCTCAGTGGAGCAATGTGCAAAATCTGAATGAAGGCAGCCTTGTAAGTTTGGCTGGGATGACCCCATATTTTACCATTCTGATAGGGCATTGGCAAGAGGCTCCAAGTTAGATCTTTAGTATCATTAAAAAAAATGAAGTCTGTTTATCCTTCATACAATGTGACAAGTCAGTCACATTCAGAATGAGACATTACTTTTAATAGGCAGTATGGGGTTGAGGGATAAGACAAGAGTGAGGGGAGGAAAGGGGAGAAAAAAGATATTTAGTATCTTGAATACCTTGCTAGAGAAGACTCAGTACTAGTCTGAACCAATAGCCTGATCCTATACAGCAGTTTCATATGTAAGGGAGGGCCCCATAGTTCAGCAGGAGTACATGTAGAAGGTTCATTCTCTGGGATCTCCTGTTGAAGGGTTTTGAACCTTGAAGGGCTGCTGCCAATCACTGTAGCCAGGACCAGCCAAAATTAAGCAAGTAGGTAGCTCCTTATGTTATTGTAAGGTCTCTTGCAGAAGAGATGCTGCAGTGATGCATGTTTGATATTGTTAAACAGAGTGTGGGATATTTGATGAATGGATCAAAGCTCTTCCTAATGTTACTAGTAAAAGGTTTCTTGCATCATAACTGCATTCTGCCTGCAAGTTTCCAACCTTTGGCACAATTAGGAATCCAAATGCTAGGTTTCCATTGGGCTTAGAAGGGCATGACATTATGTGTCTCCAGTATACTTCACAGAACTGTTGCAAGGATAAATAATATTTTGTATGCTGAAAAGAGATGTTAAAATGGAAATCACAAGGAGTCTAATCCATACTGTTTGTATTTTCAGGGACATAAGGAGCCATGGCGCCCAGCCGGAATGGCATGATCTTGAATCCCCATTTTCACAAAGACTGGCAAAGACGAGTGGCCACATGGTTTAATCAGCCTGCTAGGAAGATCCGCAGGTGAGGTCTGCTGAGCCCCTTGCATTTTGTGTTCTTTGTGTCCGGTGCTCGGCTAACATACAGCTGTCTGGATAATGCAAAAGGCAAGCAAGTGTGAGCCTTGCCATTTTTGGCTTTCTGCAAGACACTTGTTCAGTTCTTCAGCCAGATGATGAAAATTCTCCGGAATCGCTGTACCACATTGATGACCCTTTGAACCCATATAAGCTGATGGCTGTAGCGTTTTTTATTTCTATCTACTCAGTTAAAGGATTGAAAACAGAACTGTCTATATCTTAATGCCTTTATCTAAATCTCTGGTGTTACCGCAGTTTAAATACTGTCTGTAGTTCTGATTTCCACATCTCAAAAATGATATTGTTCAGCTGGAAAAGGTGCAGAGAAGGGCAACCAAAATGATTAAGGGGTTGGAGCAACTCCTATAAGGAAAAGTTAGATTTGCAACTCGTAGTTTGTGGTGGGAGCGAAGGTGAGTAAGGAGGGACATAAGAGGCATAAAATTATGCATGATTTGGAAAAAAGAAGTCATTTTTTCCCCTCACATAATACTAGAATTCCAGGTCTTCCAGTAAAGCATACAAAAGGAGCATAGCTTCACACATCACATTGCTCAAACTATGGAATTCATTTGCACAAGAGTGGTGCTAGGATTTGATAAATTCATGGAAGATAAGGCTATCAGTGGCTCCTAGTGATGGCTAGTTCTGCCTCCACTGTCAGAGGCAGTATGCTTCTGAATAGCAGGTGCTAGGAATTACATGGAGCAATTGCACTGGGGACCTGCTTGCAGGCTTCCTTTAGGCGTCTGATTGGCCACGTTGCTGGACTAAGTGGGTCTTTGGTCTGATCCAGCAGGACTTCCTTTGTTCTTATGCTTGCCTTATGCCTCCTTCCCTTGCAACCAATCCCAAGTTTATCTGTAAGGGGAGCTCAGTAAGGGTTATATTTGGAGAGACAACAGGTTTAACATAACCCTTTTGTACTTCTTTCTGCACCCAGGAGGAAGACCCGTCAGGCAAAGGCCCGTCGTATTGCTCCACGTCCGGTATCTGGACCAATCAGGCCAATTGTGAGGTGCCCCACTGTACGATACCACACAAAAGTCCGTGCTGGTAGAGGATTCAGCTTGGAGGAGCTGAGAGTAAGTAAAAAAGCATAGGTGTCTCTTAACACATGAGTGCCTGCCTCTGAAATACAGGTTGTTTTGGCTTGTGGTATATGGTATATGAGCTAAGATATATCGGAATCTGATGTGTTTTGTACAGTGGTTGGTGGGGCTTCCATATAACCAAATAACTTCATTGAATCAGAATTCTTGGAGGATTAGTTTTTGTATTTATAGTGGAAGTTCTTGAATTAAACAGATGGAGAGTTTTATAGCGATAGTATAGCTAATCCCTTTTCCTTCAGAGTGGGTTATACGAGGAACTTTAGGCAGTTAAAAATTGAAACCCACACTCTTCTGTTGTCTGTTTCTAATTGCTTAAAGGACAAGAGTTTAGCCTTACACATTTTTATTCAGTATTTTGGTGGAGATTTCTTTTTAGGTACTGGAGAAAAATTGTTTGGCCAGGTACATTAGCATCCTACCAGAAGGTCTCTCTTTGTTGCCCTTGCAAGCCACATGCCGTTTCTTTGAGAGCCTTTCAATCAGATGATGGCTCTGTCCCTGGAATCTCAGTACCGTGATTACTTACGTCTTGAAACTTTCCTTCTCTTTGTAAAAAAAATAATTATTAAAGAGTTTCAAAACAAATATTTTGTTAATACATTAACAGGAAAACAATTTTTGAAAACATTGCTATACTATTATATAAAGTATCGATATTGTTAAGTAGACAAGTAAGAAGTTTTCCAGCTGATGACTGTTCTGCCTCCATAGCAGGTACAGGGCTGGCAATGTACAAGTTGATTTTACTTGTGGCTTAGGTTAATATGCTTTCCCTAGATGGCTGGCATCAACAAGAAGTTTGCCCAGACAATTGGTATCTCAGTGGACCCCAGGCGCCGGAACAGGTCAACAGAAGCCCTGCAGGCAAATGTGCAGCGGCTGAAGGAATACCGCTCTAAGATCATTCTCTTTCCCCGGAAACCTTCTGCCCCTAAGAAGGGCGACAGTGCAGTAAGTATATAGGGGAGAATTTCAGGGGAAGTAGGTGTTGCAGGAGAAGGGAGCTTTATTTCTAATAAGTCTGGTGGGGCGAAAGCTGTGCTGCAAAGCACACTATAAAACTCCCAAGGACACAACTTCCAAGGAGTACTTGATTATGACTGGGGCACAAAAAAGCCAGTATAAGAGGCAGAAACACTACCTACTTTCCATTGCTGGTGGTCATATGCTACTTCAGCCACAACATCACAAGTCTGTTCCAATACAGCCACCCAAAGACAAGGCCACCCCCATCCCCTCACCACCAAGGAAATGTAACAAGCAAATAGATAGATAACCCCCACATGTGACGCTGACACAAAACCACTAAGTAGAAGCATTACCACCCCCCTCACCACCCTCCCCCTCTTTTCTTCCCAACCCAATACTGCATGCAACACTAATGTCTCACAACAAATGAAACTGATCTGTAGAAAACGCAACTTGAAAAAAGAGAGGATGCACATATATTTGTAAACTAAGAAATCTTTAATAAAAATTATTTTTTTAAAAAGTTTGTTCCAGGGCCCTCTTCCTTAGTTGCTATGATTCTCAAAGTGTGTACATATGTCTTTAAAGACCTTGCAGTTACCTGTATTGGAGAGAGAGCAGCAGTGTTGAGGAAAAGTGAGATGACAGCAATATAAGGCTAAACTGGAAATTTTGGTATTCTTCGTCTTCAACTCTGCCTAACCTTGCCCCTACAGTAAGATTTTTAGAGGCTCCCTCAGCACTTGTATGACATAATCCAAGCTACGTTTTTTTTTCTTGCTGTCCAAAAAAGGGAGGTGGAATAAATAGTTAAGTTAATTCCTGAACATTTTCTTCTCACCACAGGCTGAAGAGCTCAAGATGGCCACACAGCTCTCTGGACCAGTTATGCCCATCAAAAATGTAAGTGACTTCCATAGATCTTTCCTCTGAAATTTATAGACTTTATATCGGGAAATTTCCTGCTTCCAACTTCAGTGAAATGGTCTCTTGGGAGCAGCTGTGTTTCTTGGGTGTCAAATGATGTTCTGTGACTTAACAAAAAGGAGCAGCTTCAATGTTGAGTTGGCTACTACTCATTCACTCAAGCACAGTTATGTCCTTGGAATCTTGCAAAACACAAGTTTGCAATCAATATTGAAGGTTTTTGGTTGGTTTTTCGAGTAAGTTTTACATGAAATCTGAACAAGTGAATGGTGGTAGTTGTGATGCTACTGAATTTCTAACAGAAATTGAATATTAAGCAGTCAAGTAGGTGGTTAGCCTTGTGGAGTCCTGCTGGGGATCGTTCTCTTCTAAAGGCCTTACTTCTCACAGTGCCTCTGGGAAGCCCAGCAGCAGCAGGACTTAAAGAAAACAGTCCTCTCTGCTCTTGCTTGTCCTCCAGCAAGAGGTACTCAGTGCTGAATTTCTAGATATGGGCGTTCAATTTATTTATTTTTGTTTTATTTTATAGAAATAAGGTGACTGCCCTGGAAATCCAGTATATTGAGGGGCAGTATGTAAATGTAAAATAAACTAGTATACAACTATAGCTAGAAGCCATTGACTGTCTCCTACTACATGAATTTGTCTCATCTCCTTTGAAAGCCACCTAAGCCAGTGGCTGTTGTCACACCTTGTGGCAGTGGGTTCCACAAGTTAATTAGTCATTGAGTAGAAAAGGACTTCTCCTTGTCTATTCCTCTTGTCTATCTTGAACCTACAGCCAGTCAGTTTAATTGGGTGACCTATGAGCTCTAGAATTATGAAAGAGGGAAGCTATCTACTTTGCTGCTCCCCACCCCTCGAAAAGCCCCAAATATTTTAGCCTTCCCTCATAAGAGAAGATGCTCCAACCTGTTGGTCATTTTGGTTGCCTTTCCTGACTCTTACTTCCTTTTTGAGACTGACTGGCCATAACTGTTCCTCTTATTCCAAAAGTGGATATCCTCTATGTTTATATCCAAGGCCTTATGCTGCTGACCACCTTCATTTTTAGTCCCTCTAACTGATCACTAGATTCTGCTAGTGATGCAGAAAATATTTTCTGCATCATTTAGGCAATGAATTTTTCCTGTGCCTGGACTAGCCATGAGGGTTCCAACTCCACTGTCAATATGTCTCTGAACTCCAGTTGCTCAGAATCACAAGTGAGGGAGGGTGCTGTTGTGCTTAGGTTCTCTTTGTAGGCTTCACATTAGGGCATCCAGTTGGCCGCTGTGAGAACAAGACGCATGACTAAATGGGACATTGGCCTGATCCAGCGGGCTCTTCTGGTGTTCTGAGTGCTGCTGCAGAAAGGGGCGGAGTCTGCATATACATATTACATATGTTGAGCACATTTTGTCGCGAAAAGAATTCTGGGCACTGCAATTTGTTGAGGGTTGCTAGGAATTGTAACTCTGGGGTATAAACTCTGCTGCCCAGAATTCTTTGAAGGAATGAATATGATTTGGGTGTTCTTTAAAGGTAAACTGTATATACAGCCTGTGACTTAAAAGTGTTAGACTGAGCCATAGTGTGGGTGAATATTGAATGAGAAATGGGAAGAAAGCAGCAGCTTTTTGGTGTGTGCCCTGATTGTCTGATTCTTTCCTTAGGTCTACAAAAAAGAGAAAGCCCGGGTTATATCGGAGGAAGAGAAGAATTTCAAGGCTTTTGCCAGCCTGCGCATGGCCCGGGCAAATGCACGGCTCTTTGGCATCCGAGCTAAGCGAGCCAAGGAAGCAGCAGAGCAGGATGTGGAAAAGAAGAAATAAACTCTTTGTTCGGAGCACCTCAATAAAGGATAGATTTGGAACTATGTGGTGCTTGTCTTAGAGATGTGGGGAAGAGCAACATGGGCTGGGAATCCTGGCACTTGAGCATAGCCCCTTTGCCATCTCCATCTCATGCCCACTCATTTTTTGTGGGCGCTCCAGTAGTTTGGCAAGGAGGCTGGTACCTCTTGGGTTTTCAGTATTGAAGCAGCCTGGGGAATGGAAGGCAGTGCTAGTTGGACCCCATTTTATATTTTTAACCCCCTGGTTGGGGGATGAAAGGGGCGACCTACCAGTCCTTGCTCACTTAGGTTCCCTTTTGGCAGATACAGAGCTGGGTAATTTGGGTATTTAGTAGAACAGAACGTGATAAATGCAAGTTCCTCATATATGTATGGGGAAGAGCCATAGCTCAGTGGTGGTAGGGCATCGGGCTTTGGATGCAGAGGGTCCCAGTTTAAGCCCCTGTAGGGCTGGGAATGTTGCCCATCTGAAACTCCAGAGAGCTGCTGCCTGTCAGTGCAGACATTACCAAGCTAGATGAACCAATGCTCTGACTTCGTACAAGATGGCTTCTTAAATTTTTTACACTGAATCTTGCAAGGGATTCACCGGAGATACCTGATTCTTACCACAGTGCCATTTCGGTGTGAATTCCTTACTGGATTAATGTAGACCAGGCGTGGTGTTTTCTGAGAGCAAAAGTGAGCTCGGCTGAAGTGAAGACCACACAAGCCACCAGAGAATCCGATGCAGTTATTTTCCAGGAATGCATTTTCCAGGAATGTACTCTTTACTGTCTGGATGAGCTGCCTTTTCACCTCCGCTGCATCCTATTGAGGAAATGAATGTACTTAGTCGGTTAATAGAAGCTGGGCTCGGTTGATCACTCAGCTCTGCTGGAAAAATGGAGTGTGTGCTTAATGTGAAGTGCAGAGGATCCTATTTACAATAACTAGAGAGTATCTATGGGAGTGGATGGGAACCACAAGTCTGGTTTAGTTTTACTAGCCAGGCCATAAATGTAGCGTTTCCACTTATCTACCCATCCCCATAGGTCATCTGGAAATGAGATTAATGCTCTTGACATGCTACAGATCTGGAGCAGGTAAAGTTACAAATCCCCCCTCATGCTTCAGCAGTCCATTCTGTGAAATTTTGTGGACACAGAGCAGGTAGGTGTCACATGTTGCTCTGAAGAAGGGCAGACTTGGGAATGGGGTATAGGTGTATGCACACATTAGTTGGCATCCTCCTGTCTCTAGAGACGACGAGAGTGTGCCTACAGGGATGAAGTCAAACCACTGTTGGCACTGAAGTAACCCCTGGCGCACAAGCCTGGACAGTGTGTATGGAGGTCCTGGGCTGCCCATATGACAAGATCCAGCAATACACCAGCTTGGCGGCAGGCGTTGCTGGAAGGAGGTGTACAAGATGCCATCCAACTGTCTTGGGGACTCCATTCCAGATTTTTGTAGGGTTTGCTCCTTAGCCTTTCCCCCCTGAAGATAACTCCACAAAGCAGCAGAGGTTCAGGACCAGAGTTTTCCTTCTTGATGATCTACCTTCACAGGTTGACATGCCCCATCTGCCCTTCACTTCCCTGTACAGCGTGTGCAGAAACCACCTCCTTGACTGTTGGATCCACGATTAGTTTTGTTCACTCAATCCACCGGAGCCTGTCTTGCATGCAGAGAAAGTACCGTATTTTTCGCTCTATAACGCACTCAACCATAACACGCACGTAGTTTTTAGAGGAGGAAAATCCGTAGGCATGCCACCCGTAGGCATTCCCTCCATAACACGCACAGACATTTCCCCTTACTTTTTAGGAGGAAAAAAGTGAGTGTTATGGTGCAAAAAACACAGTACCTAACTTTCTGAGGGTTTGAGACTTATCAACTGCCCTCACCTGGTTTAGCTGGCCAGTTGAGAGCTGAGTGCATGGTGGGGACCGAAGGTGGACAAACTACCCCAGAAGGAGCACAATGTGTCACCTACCAGAGGTACTGCCCCTCAATGCTCCATACACTCCATGTGTGCATTGCTCCAATAGTATATTTGGGAGGACACAATTGCATCTCTTGTTCGGCTCAGGGAGATTTCACAGCTTGGAGTGGTGCTTTTTGTTCTGCAGTGGGAGCTTGCACATGAAGTCTCTGCACTGTTTGAAATCCTCCCAAACTCTTCATACTTGTACAACCTCTTCATACTAGGCTTGCACGTGATGGATGGAAACTGAGGAAATCTAAAGTCAACCCATTTCTAAGTACAGGTTCAGTCCTCTGTGTCTCCGCATCTGATCATGTACCAGGTGCTGGGGGTAAACTGCTTGACAGTCCAGGACAACCATTGCAAATCTGCTTCTTGCAACTGAGAAAATGGGTTCTGGCCCATGAATGCTTGTGCCAGAATAACTGATTTCATATGTGGCTATCACATTTCTTGTTTTGACCATTGTGAAAGAATTCATTTTTAACTAACAAGTCTAATAAATCTGCCTCTCAAAGCCCATGCCAATGCTCTGGAGGTTCTTCTTTTTTGAAGAGGGAGGGGGTGCACATCTGGAATATCTCCATCCCTTGCCTGAGTTGTTAACTAACCCAACGGAGAAATCCTCTCCACGGCATTTTTTTCAAAGAGAGACATGCAGGTACATGTTGGTTCCACTTGGTGGCAGTAAGCCCTCAATTTAGCAGTAAGTTTAACACTCAAGTTGTTGAAAGTAACAGAGTTTTGTTTCCAGGATTTCCTCTTTACAACCTATAACCCACGTGGAAGTACCCTGGAGACTCCTGTCTTGAGGAGCTGACCTTTGTGATTAGATTTGATCTCTCCTTTGGTACCTTTCCCTCACGCCCTGCCTCTTTAGTTTCTCAGCTCAGCTTCGGAAGGGTAATTAATGACCAGGGCCATCCGACTCTAGATGCCACAAGGTGGCAGTGCAGAAACTAGACTTTGTTTAGGTATCACTTTCTTCAGTGCTTCACAAGGTGAATTGTTGTAGTTGCTGAAAATCTTCTTTCTTTGCAATACCTATTGAGAGAGCGAGAAATAGAACATAGTGCTTCAGAGTAGTTGAGGCACGCTTTATCCACCATCTCAGTAATTGCAACAACCCTGCATGGTAGATGATAATTTCTATATTCCGAATGTGGATGGCAGTCTGAGAAATGGTGACTTCCTGATTCACTGCTCAGCCTTAAAACTCTTGGGAAAAACAAAGGGTTTGGGGAAAGCCCATAGCACAATGGCAGGACATCTGCATGACCTGCAGAAGATCCCAAGTTCAATGACCAGCGAGATTGATCCATGGGTCTGACTCCATATCATGCAGCTTCCTGTGTTCCTGAGGCTATGCCATGGGCCCCTTCAGCACGTAGGGTAAGAGTTTCAATGAGTGAAAAGGCCATTTTTGAAAGGCAGAGCTGCACTAGATCAATCCATCTGAGCTGTTCCACAATAAAAGAGCGAGAGAAGAGCAGAAAAGATGAGACATTGGCACTAGCCAATCTGACCTTGGCATAAATCCCTCCTCAGCCTGTGAATATCTCTGCATCTCTCTCTTCTCCTCCACCCTCACCCTGCTCTTTACATATAATATCGTTTATTTGTTTTCGTTATTTTTAAAATTATAAACCCCCTTGGGTGCCTTGACAAAAATGTGGTAAAGAAATACAATTAATGCCCCTGCGTGCTGCCGTGGTTGGATCCCTCCTCCATTCTAGAAGGAACTTAATTTCTGCGGATACCAGGACATCAGAGCTCCTTGGACAATGAAGTTTAGCATGCCTTCTACTCTATCAAGCAAATTTCAAGGGAAACTCTGTGTTCCAGAGACTTCACCAGGAAGCAGCCAGCATTGCAAATTGTTCTCATTAGAGGCAGGAAATGCTGCCCGCTTTGCGTGTTCAGCCAGCGCAGCTTCTCTTTTGCTGGGCTCTGGTCCTAGGCAGACTCTTGGGCACCTGCCAGGGCTGGGAGCACAGATGGGAAGGGGCTACTCTGAGTAATGTTCCTGCTTTGCAGAAGCCGCTGCCTCCGAGTGCAGGCAGTGACTTCCGTCCTTGCGCATGCGGCAATGAGTGCTGCCCTTTCCATGTGCATTGTGACGCACAGCCTTGCACAAGACAAAATGTTGGCTGTGCCTGGCAGGTGGAAGGGTGATGCTTTCTCTGCCAGTGGTCCAAGGTGCTTCTCAGATCATGGGATGCCCTTTTCAGCTTTCCTCTGGGTTCTATTTCCTGCTCCCCCCCCCACCCGGTCCTCCCCATACAGCTCTGCTTTTATCAGTCTACTTGTTCCCCATGTTTGGTGCCCAGCAGCGAAAATGAGAAGGCAGCAGTCAGGTTCAGAGGGTCAGGTAAGGACATAAGAGGAACCCTTCCAGATCAGACCTCAAGCTTATCTAGTCCAGCATCCTGACCTCGCACTGCTCAGTCAGAAAGCCCACAAGCTCTTCCCACTTGTGCTCCCAAGTAACTGCTAATGAGAAGCATACTGCCTCTTACACTTGAGATCGAACATAGCCATTGTGTCTAGTAGTCACTGATAGCCCTCTCCTCCATGAATCTCTTTTGTTTTTTAGAACAGGAGCTGAGATCAGCCCACTCCTATGGAGCTGTCAGGAGCAAACGGGGAAGGAAATTGACAGATGGAGATCCCCACCCTTTGGCCCTGCTGAGGATGCTCTGTCTTCTGGGCTGCCCTGCTATGAGCAGAATCTTCCCCAGAGCTGTCAATCATCTTGCAGGCACAGGGAAGCTGCTAACATGCGCTGTGAACTAGAAAGAGACCCTGGTAGAGGAACAGGAGTCATAGTGATCTTACCCAGCTTGATCAAACCCCGGGTGCTGGCAAGTTGTGAGGGAGACACGCTTGCCTGCTTGGCAGAGGCCTCATGGAGCTTGATGTGGGTACAGGGGGCTCCTAATCCTCGGGGCTTGCAGAAGGAAACATTGTCAAGCAGCCACAGTGTGAGTTTCCCAGCCTTTGGTATCAGTTGCTATCTCCAAAATCTCCGTCACTCTATGGAGTGATAGTGACTTGGAGCAGGCGAATGTGCCTCTTGCTTGTCTGGATGGAGGACAGAGCAGGATATGTGAGTGTGCATAGAAACCAGCCTGCCATAGAAAGGTAAACTTTGCATTTGTTGCTCCGTCCACTTTTGCATCTGGACCTGCCCTCTACTGGCATCTGGTGGGCAGCCCAGAAAGAAATGTGGCTTTGGGGCTGACAAATTCCCTACCCTGCATTAGATGCTGGATAAGACTTGCTTTAGTTTCCTTATATACATCAGCAGTAGTTCTTGCCCACAGACTGAGGAGAGGGTAAGAGTAAGCCCTGACAGCAAGAGCCAGATTCATTTTCCCTCTGAAATCGACCCGTGTTTGTACCTCTGCATATAAATTAGCATATGCAAACATCATGCAGATTTATGCCCTGGGCTTGTGCCCTGAGCAACACCCCCTGGTGGGTAGATGATCCACTTTGTATGCAGAAGGTCCAGGGTTCAATCCCAGGCATCTCTAGGTAGGGCTGAGAATGTGCCCTGCCTGAAACCCTGGAGAAGCCACCGCTTACTAGTTTAGATAATATTCGGCAATGCTTTGACTTGATAACAAGGCAGCTTGCTGCATTCGGAGAAACCAAGCTGTCTTTTAAGATCTTGGATCATATCGTATAAAAATGGCCGTAGAGAAGGACAGCCTTTCATCTGTGGGTGAGCGTTGCTTGTTGAGAAGGGGAAGCCCTTGATTTCCCCAGTGTCTCCAGGCCAGGCTGGGCTGCCTAGTGGCCCCCCTCCCCAAGGACTCCTGTTGATATTAATTCAGCATGTGATGGAGCCGAGTCTCTTCCCCTCCCCTTCTCCTTTTGGCTCTCAGGCACTTGTTAACACTCATTTAATTAGCAAATACCGACCTTTTGACTGAGCGGCTTAATTAGCCTGACTCTCTGGCAGCTACTTGGCCCAGGCAGCTGAACCTGGGCTGCTGTGCGAGGGGGAAGGAAGGAGGCCTCTTGGCTCCGTGGACCACAAAAAGTCACTGACTGGGCCAGAGGGGACGGGGCTGAGCATTCTGCCTGATTCACACAGTCAGTTTGGATGTGCTCGAGTCAAGCGTCTCTTTGCTTTTCCCAGGGATTCTTTGACACATCTTGCCCCAGCTTGGTGAAGACATCACTAGGGGGCTCTCGGGACTGAAGAGTCAAGCAGTGGTTTAAGATGCGGCTTTTTTATTTAGGAGACTCCTGTGGTTCCAAGCATTTCCAGAGTTTGGCTTCCTTCAAATGAATCACAGAATGACAGAATTTCAGAGTTGCAAGGGACCTGAGGGTCATCTAGTTCAACCCCCTGCAATGCAGGAACCTCAGCTAAAGCATCCATGACTGATGACCACCCAGCCTTTGCTTAAAAACCTCCAAGGAGAAGGAGGGCCCACTACCTTCCAAGGGAGTCCATCCCACCATCAAACAGCTGTTACTGTCAGAAAGTTCTTCCTGATGTTGAGTCGGAATCTCTTTTCTTGTAACTTGAATCCATGGGTTCGAGTCTTACTCTCTGGAGCAGCATGAAGGAGGCTGTGAATGAGCAGAAACTAACCTACTCTGCAAATATACAACTTAAAGAAACTGGTCTGTCCACCTTTGCTTCTGGTCCCCCCCACACCACTGCGGGCATATTGGCCTGAAAAGAATGTGAACCTCAGGCTGAAAAATGTTCCCCACCTCTGCCTTCCCCAACCTGGTGTCCTCCATCTGTTTTGGACCATAACTTCTATTGGGCTGAGCCAACTGCGGCTCATGGGAGTTGTATTCCAAAACTCCTTAAGGCCACTCTAGGTGCTGCCTCAGAGGGCTCTGGATAGCGGCCACTGTGGCTTGTGCCTTCACAGCCACCACTGGGCTCTGCTCTCTTTTCTACTGCACCTATATTGCTGTCTCCTCCTCCTCCTCCTGCCATGGCCACTAATGCCCTCCCTCTTGCACCTTGGAAGGAAGGGTGGATGTGTGCAAAAGGCAAGGGCCCCATGAGGGGAGGTGTACCCACTCTGCGTATGCTCTGTGAGCCTCCCTTTTGTAGTGGGAGAGGAAGCTGTGTTGCCAGGTTGCCGCTGCTGAGTTAGAGAGATAGAGCCAGCCGCCAGCTTTTCCAGGAGGGGTCTCCTCACCACTGTTCCAAGGACGCCGTGTGTCTCCAGCGGCATGTGCCTCCACGTGGTTACGTTCAGGGACAGGCTCACGGTGGAAAGAGGAGGGCATGTTAGAGGTGCCTGTTGCACAAAGTGGGTGGGAGGCGAGAGCGGATGTGTAGACATTTCTGGGAAGAACTTGTGAATTAAAAAATGACCTTCAGATGTTGGAGTATTCGGCGGCAAACAATAAAAATGAAATTGCAGGCTGAGAAAAACCTACAAGGGGGGGCAGAGAGTGAATATACAACAAACATGAAGAGGAGGAGAATTAGTGCTGACGAATGAGTCATCAACGATTTGTTGCTGCTGAACAGATAAATACTTTGGGACGCGGCTGAAATCCGTCAATAGTGGGACTTGCCTGTCAATTCAAAGCCCTCTTCCAAACATTAAGGCAGCATCGCAGAATTAATCCCACGGTGCTTTTATTGAATCCGCTGAGTGTTCAGCCAGGCAGGTTTTCAGCTCTCCGATGTTTTCAGCACCACAGCAATGAGCACATTTTGTATTCTCGATATATTTTTAACCCGTCCATGCCAAACGGCTGCCAGCCATCTGTAGAGTCTAGATCAGAGACAAGAACACAGGAAGCTGCCTCCTACTGCGTCAGGCCATCGGAGCATCTAGCTTAGTATTGTCTGCACTGACTGGCAACAGTTTTCCAGGATTGCAAACTGGGCTCATTCCAAGCCCTACCTGGAGATGTCAAGGATTCAACCTGTGACCTTCTGCATGCAAGGCAGATGCCCTAACCACTGAGCTATGGCCCTTTTCCAGCCCAGGGGTCATATTTGCTCATGGATAACTAGCCTGGGGCTGCATGACTGGGCTGGGTGGGAGGGCAGTCAAAATGGAGACAAAAATGAGTGAAGCAATAAACGAGGCTCAGGCAATCAGAGGTTTCCATTCACACCCCTCTCCTCCCAGGCAAGTGGGAGGCAAAAGCACTCAAGGAAAGTGGGGCTTGGACCAGGTGAGCGGTGTGGCCTAGAATGGGGACATGGCCAGGAGAGGGCCCTGAGACAGGGAGGACTGTAACTGAGGTTCCCTTGGCCCAGATTTCCATGTTTGAAAGGCCAGGTTAAAAACAGTAGATATTCTGTTCTTCAGCTCACTTCTCTGCTCCTCCGGACATGAATAGAAACATTAAGACTGTCTGCGAGTCTGTGCACATTTAAGCAAATAGGATGCCTGGGTGAAAATGTCTGTGCAGCATTTATACACAGTTTACTGAATTTATTTACATTACCTCTTTTCAGACCAGCTAGGTTCCCAAAGCATTTTTAAATACATACATACATACATACATTCATCCTTCGATCAGGAAAATCCCATGTGTCAGAACAATCCTAACAATGTCTACTCAAGATATAAGTCCTGTTGTTTTTGGTTGGTGATATAGATAGATAGATAGATGATAGAATGTAAGTCCTGTTTAATGCTGTATTTGGTGAATCTTCCTCCAAGGTAAGTGTGTGTGGTGTTTGTAGTGTGTGTGTGTGTGTGTGTGTGTGTGAGAGAGAGAGAGAGAGAGAGAGAGAGAGGGAGGGAGAGAGAGAAACTAACTGAAGAAGCCTCCTTCTCCAAAGTGCTGACCTGTGTCCCAGGCAATTATCCATGTTGAAAAACAAGAGGCAGCAGGAGGGTAATTTTTCCTGCATTGATTTTCCTTCTGCTAATTACAGCCATTTGTTATAATTAACCTGCCTGCTGGCTCTCTTGGGACACGGAGCTGTATGGCTGCAGTGGCTACCTTGGCCCAGCAAGAGGAAACAGCTCTTTCTTTCTGATGGGGGCTAGAGGAGTGTAGCCCCTCGCAGTCCCAATGGAGCAAGGATGGCAGCCCCTCACTGATAACACAGGGAAGAAGAGGCTCAGATCAAAGGGTCTGGGGTGGCAGCTTTGGTTAAAAACAACCCCTTTCTCCTCCAATCTCCTGCCAGCTGGAAAGCAGCAGCTGCAGCTCAGTGGCAGAGCATCCCTTCTGCATGCAGGCAGTCCCAGGTTCTACCCCCGGCTTCTGCAGGTGCAGTGGGGGGAAAGACCCTCTTGGAAACCCTGGAGACCTGCTGAAGTTAGCATAGTATGGGGAACTCCAATCAGCTCCAGCTAATATGGCTCATGGCCAGGGATGATGGGAGCTGCAGTTCAGCATCACCTTGAGGTTGAACTGGAGTCTCCAGGTTTGTCTGGCTCCCTCCAGGGGGCAGATGGGGGGCTTGAATCTCCATGTGGGGGTGAGTGCCTTTAAAAAAATGGTTTTTATTAAGCTGGACCTGGGATCAACTCACTTTAGCTAAGGCCTCTATCAACTTCCAGCTAGTAGCATATCTGCTAATTTGTTAGACTGTGTTTTTTGTTTGACCGACATGCTCTCGATGACTGTGGCCAATGTTTACTGCATCATGCTGAATGACATCACCCTCCATGACATCACTGGGGATTGCCCCAGTGACATCACCAGGGCCCACCCCTAGAGTTCAAGCTTGAGCCCTGAAATCTCAGGGTCTGGGATGCTCCTGACCTGTCAACCCTACCTGGAGGGACAAAGGTTCCTCACAACTGGTGTAGACCATATTGAGCCAGATGAACCTAGTGGTCTGACTTGGTAGAAGGCGGTTTGCTGTGATCCTATTTAAGCCAGCCCTTTATTTAGAACCAGGAGGAATGGAATCTTAGTTCTATGGTAAAACACATGCTTTGGGTGCAGAAGGCCTCGGATCCCATCTCCAGCAGCTCTAAGTAGGGCTGGGTGGGTGCGGGGACCCTGTCTGAAACCCTGGAGACCCGCTGCCTGTTAGTGTAGACAAACCTGAGCTAGGGGAACCAGTCGTCTGACTCAGTAGTAAGACAAGCTTCAGTATATTCAGCCCCTCCGGGAAGGGAAGGGTAGCTTGACTGGCACAGCAAGGTCTCCACATAGTGCACCAGCTCTTGCCTTGGAAAAGCAGGCTTTGCTTGAGACGCAGAATGGGTGCTGACCAGGTCGTGTTGTAATGCAACTTCCTTGGGAGTATGTAAGAAAGCTGCTTTGGATCAGATGAAATGTTGCTTGCTCAAATGCCAGGGCAGCAGCACAAAAGCCCGTGTGCGTGTGAGCCGAGGCAGCCGCCTGAGTAATCAGCAAGCGGCACGTGGAAGAGCAAGATTTTACAGAGATTTTCAAAAGGGAGAAAAACAAAACACCACCGCACACATGTAGGGATTTTCATGCTGATGAGAGTTCTGAAATAACAAAGTTCCATCTTGAATCAGAGCGATTCAAGGATGATGCAACCAAGGGGGGAGCATTTAGGGTAGAGGCAGTAACTCACTGGTAGAGCACATTCTATGCATGCAGGAAAAAAACAAGCCAGGTTTAATTCCCAGGACTTCAAGTTGCAGGACTGGGACAAACCTCTCTCAGTCATGAAGACCCTGGGCTGGGCCTTTTAAACCTTCCTGGTGTCCTTCATGCCATCCTACAGATGTAGATGTCTATTTATTGTTGTTGTTTATCATATACATTTATATACCACCTTCCTCTCCAAGGATCTTGAGGCAATGTGCATAGTTTGCATAGTAATCCTCGCAACAACTCTGTGAGGTAGGTTAGGCAAGTGACTGGCCCAAGGTCACTAAGCGAGCTACATGGCTGAGTGGGGATTCAAACTTTGGTCTGCCCCGTCATAGTCCAACACTCTAACCATTATACTACACTTGCAATGTGGCCTTTAGAAAACCCACTTTTGTTTCCTTGTGGAAAAGAGTGAGATGAAGAAGAAGGATTTTGAGTGGGGATGTGGCCAAACAACAAAATCAGGGTGGATTGGGACTGGGGGGGGACTCGCTGGGTGCAAACACCCACCCACCCACTCACTGTCAGGGGCTGGGCTAAGGAGGAATGATGGGAACTGCTTGCCCCCCTCTTCCTGCACCTTCCCGAGAAGAGGAGGACAGTATAGATTTAGAACAGTGGTTTGCAGAAGGTCATAGTTCTGAGGCTGCAGAGGGGAGGAGCTGGGAAATATTGGGAGAGCAGCAGGAAGAAGCACCAGGGGAGAGACAGCTAACAGACTCAGTGTCTCTTGAAAGCATTCCTGACTCACTCTCCTCTCCCAGAACAAGGCGTGCCTTGAGAGTGATAGAATAGAAAACTCAGAGGCAGAAAGCACAGATCAGCTGGCATAGGGGTGACGTAGGATACGAGGGACTGAGGGGATGGTACTTTACTTGGAGCAATGCCATTAACTAAGAGTGACCACATTCCTTCATCTCTCTCTGTGAATATTGAATAACCTACCTGGTAAGAACTCTTCTTGTTTTTCTGCTTCTTGGCATCCCACCGTGAGATGGATAGGATTGCCTGAAACCTTGATACCCATGCATCACAACTGGTGCCCACAGACTCTCAAGTGTGCCTCCCCCAAAATCAGGTGATGTAAGAATACTTGCTCTGACAGATCGGAAGCTATCTTTTGCTGGGTCCGACCATTGATCCTACACTGATTGGCAGTGACTCTCCAGGCTTTCAGACCAGGGTATTTCCTAGCCCTTGCTAGAGATGCTGAGGATTGAATCTGGGACCTCCTGCATGCAAGGTTGATGTTATACCACTGAGCTATGATGGCCCTTCCTCTAAAGGGGCAGAGGAAAGATGAGCAGCAGACATCTGGGGCCCAGCCGTAGAAGAGCACAGACTGGGGTAGGGTTAATGAGAAGGTTGGCAGCATCTGTCTGTCTCGGGAGATACTGGAAGACATTGGACTTCACCCTTTGGGGGTGAAGTCAAAATGTTGGAGAGCTACAGTGCCTGCTGTGGCTGTAGAGACCAATACGGGAAGGACATTGGTTATTGTGTGGGTTGCTTTGTAGCTGAGTGCCTACTGAGCTGAAAGAGAACAGAGTGAAAACGGACTGGTTGTGGGGGAATGCCAGGGTGCTTTCATATAGCGGTGGTGACTTTATTTTACAATGGGAGCAATCATGAGATCTAAGCTTTCAGAAGGAGCGCTTTACACTATGTCTTTGGGGAAGCATGGCCTCAATATTGCAAGAAATCTCAGCCACAGATAAGGCACAGACCATCAGACCTGCAGCACCTCCTAAGCTCGCTTCACCAAGGATGAATGGCAGCAATAAGAAAGGACGACTAATGAAAAGCATCCATCTGCTGCCATCTGCCCCCAGCAACGGGAGCATCAGTGGCCGGGTGCAGCCTTCAGCACCCAATGCCAAGGCATTTATCCTGGCAGGGCAAGGATCTCTGGGCTGCTGCATCTCCTTTCTGCATGAGCAAGAACCCAGCATCCAGTGGGCTGTTGCCCACAAAAGCTTAAGCTACAATAAATTTCTTCAAGGCAAATTGTTCTTCAAACAGCCTGTGTGGTTTCTCGTTCTTGCAGACTTGCTGGCTGCTTGCTTGCTTGGTTTCTTAACCCCTGAATTCAGGAGATGGACGTGACCTAGTGGCCACCTAATCCAGCACCCCCTGGAACACAACTGGGCTGCCTCACACTTCAGCCCACTCAGAATCCTCCCAGATCAGCAAAGGCAATCCAGACTCAGGTCAGCCAACATGCTGCATAATGCATAGATCAGATTGACCACAGAAAAGGGCTGTTGTCAGTAGGGAGTGATAGAGTATCTGCTTTGCATGAAGAAGGTTCCCAGCATCTCCAGAGACCCCAGCTGAAGAGACTCTGGGGGAAGCATTACTAGTCAGTAGGCTATACTGGGCTAGATGGATCAATGGTTTGTAACTGGTTTAAGACACCTTCATATGACTAA